TTAGATTTTTATTAAATTTACTTATAAAGATTTCAGGAATTAGATTAGTGGAATATTTATAAAGTTTAGGTGTTGGTAAATATTTATCTGATATATGTTCATCATTTTCATATCCATCATTAAATTATTATTATTAAGGTTTACAAATTGGATTTGTATAGGCATGAAATGCCTGTCAACCTGTCTTATGATTACTACATAAATATACTAATCATAAATTGTTTTTTCTTCTTTTAGATAATTGTCGAGTTTGTTTTTAAAATTGCTCACGGAAGTAGCATTTACAACGTCATCTGGGAGGGAGTTACATTTGTTGATTACTCGTAAGGTGAAAAAGTATTGACGAGAAGCTAAACGAGAATAAGGTTTTTCTAGTTTAAATGAATGTCCTCTTGTAATAGAATTTATAATTGTTTTGAGAAAGATCGTTTGACAGTTGTAGTAGTTGTTTAGGCATTTATAGACGTTTATTAAATCTCCCCGGATTAGTCTGTATCTTATGGTTGTCATATTAATTTTTAATAGTCTTTGGTGATATGTTAGACTTTTTAATCCATGAACTGATTTAGATGCTCTTCTGAGTATATTTTCAACTTGTCGTTTGTCTTTCAGTAGACGAGGGTTATATACAGAACCACAATATTCTAAATATGGTCGTACTAGTGCTGAAAACAGTCTTTTAAAACAAAATGAATTTAGATAAGAGAAATATCTTTTTATTAGAAATCTGCATCTGCATTAAGTAATAGCATTAAGAAATAGCATTGCCCTATTAACTTGAGTAGAGGTATGTTAAGAAAATAGCAAGTTATTATCGATATGTACTCCGAGGTCATTTTCTGAGTGGGTAGATTTGATATCAATCCTTGTTTTTTTCACTGGATTGTACATAGAATAGACAAGATGTTTATTTTTATGACCTAGGTGTAAAACTGAACATTTTTCTATATTAAATTTCATCCCCCATTTAGTTGCCCAGTCAACCAAGATATCAATATCATTTTGAAGTACGGTGTGTCAATGCAAATTAGTAATAGGGTAAAATATTTTTGTATCGTCAGCAAAAAGTGCTGCATTTGAAGTAATTATATTGGGAATATCGTTAACGTATATAATGAATAATAGAGCTGAAAGAACAGAACCATGGGGAACTCCACTTTTTACTGATACCCAATCAAAGTAATTACCATTTATCATTACTCTTTGTCTTCGATTTGTGAGAAAGTTTCTTATCCAAGAGAGAATTCGACCATTAATCCCATAGGCTTTTAGTTTCAAAAGAAGATAGTCGTGTGGGACTTTGTCAAATGCTTTTTCAAAGTCAAGGTAAATATTATCGACGGGAAGACCTTTATCTAAATTAAGTGTCCATGTATTGATTACAGTAAGAAGATTTGTTTCACAAGAGCGCCCTGGATAAAAACCGTGTTGACTAGGAGTTAGTAGATTATTTTTTAAAAGATGAATAAAAATATGTTTTTGTATTATTTTTTCAAATATTTTAACTATAGTGCATGTTAAACTAATGGGTCTATAGTTGGTAACTAGTTTCTTGTCTCCTTTTTTGAAAATTGGAATGATATTTGCATCTTTCCAGATTTGTGGTAATGTACTAGTTTGAAGTACCTTAGTATAAATAATAGAAAGATGTTTAGAGATTTGGTGATGGGTTTCTTTTAGAGTTTCTTTTAAAGGTTTAGTTTGGTCCCCCCTTTTTTTGTTGTATATAATTCTACAAATATGTTTTTGTAAACATAGAATTTTTTTAAGTTTTGTTGGTTTACAACTTGCCCACAATGAATTAAGCTGAAATATATAAGCTTTAGACTATAAATACAATACTAATGGTTTTACTAATTTTTGATTCTATATATTTTATATAAGGGAGCCATGATAAATGATCATCTACAACAACTCCTTGAGACTTTATAGTATCTTGTTTTTTAATTTGTTTATAACTTATAATAAGTTTTGGCAGTTTTAGAGGAAGGTTTTCTTCTTGTATCTTTTTTATGAAACAAGGTATATTATATTTTTAACGTTTAGAGTTTAGTTTATTTGACCTGAACCAATCATTACTTTTTCTAATTCAAAGTTCATGTAAGAATATAGTTGAATAATATTGCAGTCAGATAAAAATAGATTTGTAACGTCTAAAAACATGATCGCATGTAGTTTTACTGATGCATTATTAGAATCATTAATATAAATTAAAAATAAAAGCCTGGATCGATCCTTGAGGCACTCCACACAGAATATAGAGACATAAAAACATAGAGAGTATTTAACGTCAGCAAACTTAAACCGCGGAATCTTTAAGAAATAAAAAAAGGTCATTTAAAAATATATTAAAGAAGATTGGCCTAACCATTGATCCTTGAGGCTCCCACAACGAAACTCCTAATTACTCTGAAAATGATGAACTCAGTTTAACTCTTTGTTTACGATCACTTAGACATGATAGTAAAAATTTAAGACGTTCATGAGAAAAACCATAACCTTCTAATTTAGATATTAATTAAGTATGAGGAATCAGGTCATAAGCTTTCGAAAGATCCATAAGCATAGAATTATAGGTGCTAACTAAAAATGAGCTCTGAAATAAGCTTAAAAATTAGATTTTTCCTCCTAAATTTTAAAAATAACGCACTGTACGCCGTGTTAATTTTTATAATTTATCTCCTAAATTTTATGTTTTACAATGTTGTTTAAAATGTGAAAAAAAGCAATGCTTACTTTAATTATAATATATTTAATAGAAAGCTATGAAAATTTAAGCAAACAAAATTATATCTTATTACGTCTATTGCAACATTTAAGCGTTCTTCCAAAAAATTTGGACTATTTATTTTCAAAATTATAAGTAATTTTTTTTTCTTATTTAGATGTTTTTACGCTAGTTAAGTGAACTTTTAATATATAGAATGTGAACAAAACCAAAATTTTGAAAAACTAATAAATAATTTTTTTTTTTTTGTTCAGCCATTAATCTTTCATAATTGCAAAGATTTTTTAAAATGGTGTATTCTATCGGCGGTTTATTTTATTGGGACACGCAGCACAAAAAAGTCTAAGCGATAGTTTTCTAATAAGACTTATTTACACAGATTTTATAATGATTTTGGGAAAAAAACCTAGACATAAATAGACAAAATAAATCTCACCTAGCTTACCAAGTCAAATAGCATACATACTTTTGTATATTATCTTAAAGTAATATTCGGTGGTTGTTTTTTTTCAATTTTCAAATTATTTACACGATTCAACTAAACAAACACTATTCTTACACAAACCAATTACGTAGAAAAGCAATTCTTAGAATCCACATTTTTAAATACTTTTAAAATAATAATTTGTAAAAAATATTTTTAAAATAATATTAACAACATTGATATAAATAAAACTTAAAAGGATATTAAATATTCATGAATCACGTGCTTTTTTCACGAGTCACGTGCTTTTGATGCTAATATCGCTTTATAAACATATTTACAACATTTTTTTAAGTTTTAGATTTTTGTCGAATTTAAATATTTTCCCTCATACATACACGGTGCAAGATGGTGTTTCGTTTCTACATACATATGCGGTACAAGATGATGCTTCGTCTTTACATAAATAAACGGTACAAGATGTGTTTCGCCTCTACATAAATGAAACAACTTGGAGCAGCTAAATAAAATCTGATTTGCATTTGGCGCAATAATCACCGCGCTTGTCGACCTTACGCCATCCACATTGTTCGCAGTGGTACCGCTTGTTTTCTTTTAACTTTTTCCGAGTGTCGGATACAGACACATTTTTAAACCCGTTTTCTTTGATCTCCGAAGATACTGTTTTGTTGTCGGTATCAGATAGTTCTACTAAGTTGGAATTGTTATTTTTCAAACCTTTAATGAGATCTACGCTATAAACTGTTTTTCCAAAGGTAAGTTTTGTGTGATCAATTTGTTCACCTTTTTCTTCTGTCGATAATGATTGCTTTGGAACAGGAAGACCTTTGATACCAAAAAATGTATGACTCGGTAATCTATTTTGAGTATTTAAAAGTCCAACAGAACATGATTGTTCGTCATATGCATCGCCTACAAATCGATTTGTTTGATTAGTCTTCAAAATGTTTTCATTACATCCGTGCAAACTTATATTGTTTGTTTGCAAATTACTGCACGTAGTCTAAAGAAAAATAAACAAAAAGATTAAAGTGGACCTTCAGTAAAAAAAAAAGGGATAAAATTTCGACGGAAGAAAAATGCTTTCGATAAGTTGTATCGCGAATAGAAATATCTTACGTTTTTTTAAAAAACATAAAAGTGACAAAAATAATTTAAGTTTAAGCAATTCCTCAAAAATGGTTTAAGTAAAGCAAGCCTTCATAATTAAATATTTATTTCTTAACTGAAAACTTTTTTTGTAATATAAAAGTAATAACTATTACATTTTTATAGACAGTATTGGAAAAAGTTTGCAAAAGTAAAAAACAAGCAAGAACATTTTTTTTAAACATAACACAACAAAGAAAAACATATACATTGTCTCATAAAAAGGCAGTAAAGAATGATAAAAAGATAATCTGAAAAAATATAAAGTAAAGAAAGATTAAAAGTAAAAATTAAAAAATTTAATGTAAGGACTCAGTAAAAATTTTACCATTCATTAATATAGGAATGTTGCCATAATTATTAGCAGAAAACAACTGAATTTTTGGGCTACAACTCACCAGCCGCTGTAGTCCCCAAGTTGTCACAGAAAAGAGATCAGATTCAAAATCTAGTCATAGGGTATTACGAGTCAACTCGGACAAAAATAGTAGAAAGCTAAAATTTGCCAACTCAAAAACTAAACTACATAATGATAGAAATTTTATGCTGATTAATATTTATATAGGAACTATGAATATCTTTTTTAAAGTTATTTTAAATGTATAAACTTGATTTGATGTTTTTGCAACTCTTTGTTTTCAAAACATAACAAACTTTAATGTACAAACTTTGATTAATTCTTTTGTTTTCAAAAAAAAATATGAGTACTGTTTGCGTATTATATATAACAGCAAAATGTTCTATATAATATAACATAAGTAATTTAATGGTGGTTAACTGACGAAATTCATGCTTAAGGTTTATTGACTTGTTTACATTTGATAAACGTTTAGAAAGAGAAAATATAGCAGATAATTTGGTTATTTTTGCACATTTTAAGTTATCTAAAAGACCAGTTACAACAGAACACGAATAATGGTACAACAGTACTAGCCCATCATAGATTAATGCTCATCATAGCTGTGGAAAAAACTTCGTTGATAGTCATAAAGATAAATCATTATCTGTACCAAGAAAGAAACTACGATCATCATTCAATGAGTTATTTGATTGAAAACTGAATTGTTTTCTTTGTATTAAAAAAGCAGACCAAAAACATTTAAAGATTGCTAAAGTTGAGACTTTATCAATGATTAACAAAATAATTGAACATTTTTTAAATAGAGAGAATAATTAGGGAAATAATGTGCATTCTTGCTTAATGTCTTGTTCTGATCTTGTAGCAGAAGTAACCATTTACCATATTTCTTGCATAAACAACTTTCATCTTAAAATCAACAGTGATAACCAATACAGACATCCATTAGATGTCATTGTTGTGTAACCAACACAGACGTCCATTAGATGCCATTGTTGTCAATGTCGTGGTTGAAAATTTTGAGAAACTCTGTTTTTGGAAAGAGAAAAGAACCACAGCAAACTATATACCTTTTCAGGTTATAAGTGCACAGTAAGATAAAAGAACTTACTCTACTCAATCTTTGAAACAAAAGTTACCTGAATGTTATGATAATTTTTTGGGCAGAAATCTAATTTTTTTAGCTTAGATACAGCTTCTTTTTCGATATAGAAATTTCAAAAAACAAAAGAACACTCTAAAAACAATATCATAGCTGCTGCTACAAGTATAATTAAGAGTAAAATCAGTGAAATGAATATCCATAATTCTGTATAACCATCACTAGAGGATATGGGTGATATTGAATATGGACTCAAATGGGTTCCACAAAGCATACAGTTATTTCTAGACCATTTAATTTCTTTAAAGCTATGACAAATTAGTTTAGGACAATGCATTGCTCAAGCTTCATTACCAAGATCTATGATAACAGCGATTCCGTTTGTTAAAGCTGCTGCAATTAGTAGAGTAAACAAGAGCTAAATTTCCTACATTGGGTGGCTGACAATGCAGATCACAACATTTGTACATTTACCTGAAAATTTCACAGTTCATTTGTTCTTAAAGATAAGGCTTTATCACAGATCAAGCTGTCACAGTTTATTTAGGGTAAGTATTAGGCCATTAAAAGAAATTTTATCTGAAATATTTCAAGTGCCTGAAATGAATCTTGATCTTATATTGTTTTTTAGTTTAAAAAATCTCTTCCTTATCCAAATGGTTAGGTTTTATGATATATATTATATCAAAATCAACAACAATTTATGAAAAAGCATCTATCAAATTTTTACCTACTACTGATTTAAATTCTTCTGGCAAAACATGCATATATGCTACACTGTTGTTCATTATTGATAAAACCAATAAATATAAAATCATTACTCCTTGCAGTTACCTTTAATCAGCTTTTATGGCAAAAAAAGCTTGAAGTTGAAAAAGATCAAAGTCTCAATAAAGTATACCGAATCGGAGGATTTTACATAACGATAACTTTTATTGGAAGCATTGGAAAACTTATGGTGTGAACTTATTTAGAAGGAGTTTTAGAGTTTAGAGTTTAAAACTTTGGGGCTTGAGCATATTCTATATTGGTAATATAATCTTTATATGCAGAAAGATGTTTGAAACAAATCCATGGTTGCACCAACAATTTTTAGTCATCAGCAGTTGATCTGCAAGGTATTAGGATAGACAATCTTCTGATCTTCCGATTAAGCAGACCCTGATGCGGTCTATAATTTGCAATGGTGGTTTAACTAGGGCTAAAAGATTTGGTAAAAATGTACACAGCCTAAAGACAATAAGCATTTGTTATTTTTGTAGGAGTTCAAGAATGGATGTATTATTAGTTTGACATAGGTGTTATGGAAAATAATAAAGAGATGGGTTTTACAAGAATAGCATGTGATAATGAACATTGTGAATTGTTTTATGACTGGTTTTCTGTAAGAAATCTATTCAACACAGATGATAGAAATCTACATTCATTATCTTCTAATGTTGTATAAGTCAACCAGGGCGCAACAAAACAACAAATGTGTTAACGTTTATTCAAAAAAACAAACAAGAAAAATGTTAAGTTGTTAAGAAAATGAACATCACATTTCTTTACTTTTATTTTATTTTTTCAAATAATTGTGTTTGATAGTTTTTCATTATAATAACTATTAGTAACTAAATTTTGAAATTTTTAAAGACTTTAAAAGAAACCATGCTAAAACATTACTTTCTTTAATAACCTTACTTTTAAGTAAAACAACTAAGGACGCTATTGAAAAAAGTAATTATGTTTTTGCATGCGTTTACAAAAGCATGCAAAATTTTATTAAAAATAAATGCATTTCCAATTACTTTAAAAAAAACCATGCTTAACCTATGTCAGCTATATAAGAAAAAACATATTATATTTGATGGTTATGATTAAGAATTTTCAATTAAATCTCATGAACACATCAGGAGAAAAAAATTTAATTGTTCACTTGCTAAGACCAATTTCTGTTTTGTGTTTTAGATGATACTGATATAGTCATGATGCTGCTATATAACTGGAGAGATGAACTAAAATTAAATTTTTTTTATCAAGAATGCAAAAAAAAAAAAAAAACAAAAAAAAAACAACAACAACTCTGGAATGTAAAAGATGCTCAACCTTGAGTAATGGATATTCAGACAATGGGTGTCAAACTAGTAATGGATATTCAGAATGTTTTTAAATTAACAGTCTAGTCTTTTAATTATGCATTTTTGTGGTTTTTTTAAAAACAATAAATTTAATTCTCAATTAAATTAATTTGTACTTTATTTTGAAATATATATATATATATATATATATATATATATATATATATATATATATATATATATATATATATATATATATATATACATGGAGTTTTTAATACAATAGGCTTTTTTAGATACAATATTGTCTTCATATGATTTAAAAATTGAAGAAGATTTAAGTGACAAAATTAAAAGCAAGAGAAACTTGAAGATTTGTTTTGAGTAAAAATATCTTAGTAATAATAAATGCTAAAAAAAATAATAAATATATAAGATATGCTAATCGAATATTACATTTTTTAAGAAACTTATATTAGAGTCACAAAATTATTTAAAATAATGCATTTCTTTTCACATTCAAGCTTTTCCTATTTATATACTAGTCATATATTTATAAGTTTTTTGTCTTATTTATTAGAGAAGTTTTGAAAATTGACCCATTTTTTACCCCTAAAATTGCCCCAAAAGAAATATTCTTGTAACAAAATTTTTTAAAATCTAATGATTGTCATCATTCTGTCAAATTTCAGCTTTATACTATTTTCAACAATGTTCTAATGTAATTCTCTGCGACAATATTTTAATCTAATACCCTCTGACTAAAAGGCTGCTTTTTTTAAGCAATCAAAAAGTGAAGAGTTTCTGTTGAAACTAAATTATATAAGTCATAAGACTATCAGAAAAATTATTATTATAGATAAGAAAGAAAACAGGACCAAAAATGGAACTTAAAAGTTACTGGAAATGAAAGTCCATCAAGGAAACTTTAATATTGTGACATACGGTATTAAAGTTTCCTTGATGTTTTGCTTTTTGTTTTGACTTTTATATAGTTAGAGGTGTCTTAATTAATATTTTAGTTCAACTAAAATTTGCTATCAATGTATGTTTGTGTTGTCTGAATCTATGTATGTATGTTTGTGGTGTCTGATTTTATGTATGTATGTTTGTGTTGTCTGAATCTATGTATGTATGTTTGTGTTGTCTAAATCTATGTATGTATGTTAGTCTTGTTTGAATCCATGTATGTATGTTTGTGTTTTTTATGAACAGATGTTAACTGTATTCAGCTACTGTCTAGCAGAAGACCTCCTAGGCAAAGACTTTAGGGGTAAGCAGAATAATTCTCTTGTTTAGCCTCAAATCCCTTCTTAAGCCTAATTTAATATCTACACCAGCCTGATAGAGGCTGGTGTAGATGTTAACTTGTGTTAGATTTTTTCCTGCATAGGATGATGAATGCTGGATCATCTTGACTCTACTCATAGATTTTTGCTTGCCTCCTTGATAATGGCTATGCAACTCTTCCTGTTATTTCCTAAGTGTACAACTTAAATTTTTTTAATGATTCTTTTCTGGCTGGTAGTAAGGTTTCCAGAACTCTGTTATAGCTGATTCCATCAACAGCTGATTCCATCAACAGCTAATTCCATCAGAAGCTGATTCTATCAACATCTGATTCCATCAACTGATCAGTAGCTGATTCTATCAACAGCTGTGAAATAGAGTATTAACAGCGTCACAATGTGCATGCAATGTATGTTACTGATGCAATTGTAGAAATGATTAATATAAAACCGAAGTTTATTATTGCAGAAAAAACAAGCAAACCCATCCTTAATGAAAAATATGGGTACTAAAGTCACATTTCATAAATTTTTGAAATATAAATGAATAAAAAAATGCAAGTATATAAACATGCAGTAGTGTTTGCTTAAGTTATGTAATGTGTAACTAGATTAGGTACAGAGCTCATAAGTGCAAGTTTGTATAATTATTTCCCTGAAACATTTTCTTATCTCCATGAAAGAGGCTGAAAATTTTTTCATTCATTCATTTGTAAAATTGTTCTAATCATAACCTCCATAAAATATTTCTTATTCTTTCGATTTTCATTTTAATTAAATTTTTTTTTAACATCTTAAGAATGACTTAAATTCATCAGGGGATTCATCAGGGGATTTTCCTGAGTTGCCATGGATGCCAACAACATAGGTGCTGTTCTTCTTTTTAAAAACACTGGATCCATTTATAGGCTGACTAGAATTTCTATAAATACAGTAAACTCTAGATTTCTTGAACCTCCAAGGGCCCTAAAAAATAGTTTAAGTTAGCGAATGTTTGAGCTATCGGGACATTCTATTACATATTTTACTTATCGACCAATTGCCGATAAGTAAAAACAATTCGAGTTATCAAAAGTTTTATTAAAATTTTTTTCTCTACTTTTGATCCATGTTGATAAAATTTTTTTGGAATGCCAAACTTCATAGCAACCTGAGACTTTCACAATCCTTTATAAATTTCCCTTAAAGCAGCATAATTTTCTTTAATTGATTTTGTGTTCATTTTTCTCTTAACAGCAACAGTAGCCATAATAAAATGTAAACACAACAAATTTTATTATATTACAGTGCACGCTAGTATACCTTATAATATAAACTAAACTATCAAACTATTATTACTGATTACATTGCAATTCAAAGGCTTCATTGCTGTTTTTTTTATATTTTTGTTCTAAAGTTTGAAATATCGGAAATATATTAGCCATGGAAACAGATAAAATAGTTCGACCAACAGGTGTTTGAGCTATCGAGTTGTTTTTATGTGAAAGTGTTAGTGAGGTTTCAGGGGCAACTCAAAAGTAGTTTGAATTATCAGGATTTCACTGTATTACTATATAAATGGTCAATTAATAAACAATAATAACTAATAATAAATGTTCCCTGAAATAAGATTAATTAATACATATTACTAACATAATTATATAAAAATAACTTTATTTAAATCTAAAAAATGAAATTTTTATTTTTCAAATTAAAAAAAAAAAAAATTTTAACTGGCATAAGTCCACCAAAGAACTTGACAGTGAAAACTCTTTGGTTTACTTATGCCAGTTTGCACTTTATGTAAACTGTGCAAACTCACAGAACAATTTAGATATAGATAGTTTGGATGGACATCCATTGAAAAGGGTAGATGTAGATAGTTTTGATGGACATCTATTGAAAAGGGTAGATGTAGATAGTTTGGATGGACATCCATGATTAAGTTTGGTTGGAAAAGCAAATTTTCATTTTCTAATACTTATTTATTATAAAAAAAAAGTAAAACTGATTGGCTCACATATGCAAATTTGCACTATCAAGTTTCTTGACAATATTGCATTTTATTTTATTTTTCAGCAGGTGAGTAAATAAGTTTAGCATGTTTTGCTCTATTATAGTTGATTCTGGATAAAAAATAAGGGATGAACTTTTATTATGATTAAAAATAATCAAGAATGACTTTAGTGTGTTCCTTTCTATCAAGCTTTTGCATCAAAACTATTTTATGTTCACAAAGCAGGAGAACAAAGTATATGCATGTTCTGCGTCTTTGGTATCAAAAATAATTATCTTATCATTAAAGTTCAAATTTACATTCAATGAGTGTGTCCACAGCTAAATTTATTTTATCTTTACTAATTTAATTAGAGCAAACAGTTATCTTCTTTATGTAACAATAACAATAGTATTCATAAAATTTGAACCTTTACCCTGGATGTCTATTCCTTTCAAAACTATCACATAATTGATGTCAACTTAATCAGTCACCATAAAACTTTTTTAATCTCTGAGTTAAACCACTTCTGCCATACAATGTCTTCTCTTTCTGTCTATCTTGATTCTTATCTAGAGAGAATCAGTCTGCTTATAGCAGACTGTTTCTTATTAAAGTTTAAAAAAAAAAATTCTTTTTATATTTCAAACTATATTTACTGCAGATTATTCACATATTTTTGAAGATATTTTTCTACATGATAAAAAAGATAAAGTTACACAATCAAAATATTTCTCCCCTATTTTTGGCCCATTCTCCATATAGCCTCCATATGGACTATGAAGAAATTAATAGACCTGTAGAAATTGATATTTTATCTTTTCAATTATTTTTTGTAAATTAAAAAGTTTAATAAAAAATACTATATGAGTGACATTAAAGTTTGTCATGTTTGACTAGCAATTCTCAAACTTGTATTCAATACTCTAATAATGTATTCTATTTCAACTCTTGTTTCCGTATACTTCAACCCTGTTACCTTATGTATTGAATGTGTACCATTTCTTTTCTAATCTTCATATAACCTACAAAAAATTTAAAAAACTAGATAATGTTATAAATTTAGTTCTTTCTTTAGAAAGTTGACCAAATAAATTAAAAAATATATATATGTCCTAATATGAAAAAAATATTTTATAAATGGTTGATTTATAAACTAGGAAACAATGATGTTATTTAAAATCACATTTTAATTTACTTTGTATCTTCTAACTAAAAGCAATTCGCATTCAATCAGCCAGAATATCCTTTTCTTTCTATACAAAAATGACAAAAAGTTGATATGGTTCTGTGAGGAAATTTTTTTTAACACAGGCATATCTTCCACAAACAAAATTTTTTTTCTAAAATACAGAGCTTTTCAGGTCATAGTTTTTTCAAAAATTTTGTATTTTGTGTTTTGTTTTTCATATTTTATTATTTTGTATCTTTTTGTTTCTCAAATAAAATCCAGAATTAACTCAAATTTTTTTACCCTTAGATAACCAAGGTTTATCCAGATTTAAACCATTTTTAAAAATAAGATATTTGAATGTGAATTTTAATAAACCAAAAGTTCTATTTATAGCCACCCATCTTCTAATTAAATTTCAAATAATACATTTAGGTTTTGATCTTACTGAAAATTTTAATTAAAATTCATTTTTTAAAACTATCCATCCCTATTTCAATTTAATAAACTCTTCACTTCAATAAATGAAGGGTTTTAAATCAACTTTTTTTATAGATTTACTTTGTAACAATTTCAGTCAGGTTGGGCATAAAAGATAAAAGATTAATTCTAGTAGATCAATAAAATAATGGCATTATAAAACTCCAATAAAGACAAAATTACCATAAACTGTAATTAGTAATCAACATATATAACTGTAATATATGTACATATATAACTGTAATATATAAGATATATAACATAACTGTAATTAACTATTTCATAAAACCTCAAAATTATTTTAGTTAAGAAATTGGAAAATATTGTTTTGGTATTGTTAAGAAACTTGATAGTACAAAATCTTTATCATAAAATAATCCTTGGAATCATTTATACACGAATGATTAGAAACAGTAAAGAGCATACTGAATTATCAAAAGAAAAAAACAAAAGAACAGTTCTTGGAACATCCCAGTACACATCCTAGTACACTAATTTTTATGTACCTTAATGAATAAAATATGAAATTAAAATTATAAATAACTATACAAGGCATTCTTAATAAATTAATATTATTTATAGAAAGTCGAGTCAGGCTATAAAAAGACCCAAGTGGTTCCAGAGTTTTTAAAAAAAAGGTATAACACCTATATTGTTTCACTGACTCAAGAAAATCACAAGATGAATTCAAGTCAACCTTAAGATGTTGAAAGACATATAATGATTTTTTATTAAGGAAATCGAAAGAAAAAAAAATGTCTTAGGGAGGTTATGATCAGAACAATTCTATAGAAGAATGAACAGAAACTGTTTGAGGAAGATTATGATCAAAATGATTGATTCTAAAGAGGAATGAGAAATAAGCTATTTAATTTTTTTAAATAGCTTATTTCTCATTCTTCTTATTAAATAGCTTATTTCTCATTCTTCTTATTAATTGTTTCAGTTAATCAACCAAAACTGTTAACAAAAAAATTTTGTAACAATAACACTAATTGAGACAGCCAATCAAAATTATTTTTTATTATTACATTTGATTAACACATTACATTTGATTAACACAAGAGTTACTTTATTTAAGATTTATTTATTTCTTATTAACATTTGATTAATACAGGATTTATTTTGTATATAAAGTTGTAATGTAATATATAAACTTTGAATAAGTTATCTCATGTGTGGACCATAGTAATGTAAAAAAAAAATTTAAATATACTATCAAAAAATTAAGTTTAAAAATTCATACTATTATCATATTATTATAATAATGGATATACATTAACTAAAACCTTTGTATAATAGTCAAACAGTTAAACATCAAACAAATTTAAAACTGAAAAAATAGAAACTTACATTATAAAAACTGCTATTTCTAGACGAATTTCGTGCATTTTGCTGATTAAAAGAGGCATCACTATAAAGAAAAAGTGGTTAGAATATGATAGCTAAAAACTAACATAGATGCAGACATTTACCATAAATACATAAAAACTGGCATTAATACTGATCCAATACAATGTCTTAGCTCTGACTTTCATGCAATAGCCATTACACAAAAGCAACGACCTAGCTACCAATGGTGGGGTAAATTAATAATCTCTGTTCATTTTACAGAATTACTAGAATTCTAGGATACTCTACCCATTTTAAAATTTACCGGTTGAGGACTATTATTAAAGGCTTTATTTTTATTTTCTGTATAAAACAAAATATTTAGTCAGTGCCAAAATTAGAGCTTTTTTTATGCAGATTATAGGTAATCATTGTATCTTTGAACTTTTAATTTCAAAATAAATAAATATGCAGATTATAGATTATTTATTGTATCTTTAAACTTTTAATTTTAAAATCAAAGAAGTATGATTTTGGATCTTATTGATGACTTATTTAGAACAAATAAAGATTTGACTATTTTTAGATTATTTGAATATATTTTTGGGTTAGATTAAATTAAGAGGGGCTTATTAATTAAAACCAAAAAAAAAAATGAAAAAATAAAATTAATTAAAACCAAAAAATGAAAATAAAGCAACTCTCCTTTTTTAGATTTTTTTTTTTTTTAGAAATTTTTTATTTCAAAATTTAAAATATTTAAAATATTTCAATTTACATTTGTTTACAAATCTAAAGAACCTAATTTAAAAAACTAAATTTAAAAAACTTGTGAAAAATTTAAAAAAGTTGTTTATGTGTTTAAATGTAATGTAAAATCTGTCTAAATGTAAAAAATAACATGTAAAATTATTTTTATTATTTTGCATCTTTTATCTAAATATTCTGAATAAAATAACAACAACAACAAAAATTCTTATTAAAAGAAACTTGTTTTAATGTAAAAAAACTTCAAATATGTAAAAACTGTTTACCAAGGTTTACCATAATTTTATAAATTTTCAAAAATAATTAATAAATAGCTTATTCAACTCACATTAAAGTTTTATCCTCAAGAGGCAATCCATCTAGTTTTAAACAATTGTCAATTTTTTTTTGCAACATTTCAGAACGAGAAAAACTTGACCATCTTTTTTTGTCAACAACCTCAACAAGATTTGAATTGTTATCAACAAGTTTTGATGCATCACGAAATAGTCCTTAAAAATAATAAAGTTAAAAAAATGGGAAGAAATATTTTACAAGTACAAAGCTATAAGTAAGCTATAGTGTTGCTTCTTACACTAGGGTTCCCACTATTAAAACTGAGGCTAAAAATAAGGATTTAAGGAGATATTTTCCTAACATTAAAGGAGATTAGGTTGCAAACGACAAAATTTTGAAAGAAAAAGATGAGTGAATTTAAGGAGAAAATGCTTACATTAAAAACAGAATCTTTTTTTCAATAAAATTTAAATATAAACAGGTTACTATTATAAATAATAAAAATATATAATATATAATATACATAAATATAATTAAATATAATAAAAATATAAAAATAAAAATATATAAATAACAAGCTTCATCAAAAGTTTGTCTGAGAAACATTCAATTTTTTTGGAAATTCAATCATAAATGATGATCTGACATCAGACAGCAAGCAAACAGTTAAGACAAAGAGCTTTTCTCAATGATAAGAATACACATTGAGACAAGAAAATCACATATTTCTTGAACTTGTCAATTTGAACATCAATAATCTAATAATCATAAGTTGTTGGAAATCATACTTTAATGGAAAATCAAAGCCAGTATATGAAATTAGATAAAACTATTTTTAATAATGATATTTTAGCATTAGCGTTTGCAGGATAATTAAATGAACTTAGCATAGAAGCTATGTAGAAGTTCTTTGAGTGTCACCACCAAAGGAGTTATTGGTTTATCAGTTTAAAAAGAAACTAAAAAAAAAAAGTTTGCAAGGATTCATTGATAGTATGTAAACTACAGGTAACAATAATGTCAATTAGTGTACTTAATCCATTGTTTCGATGTTCTTCATTGAGCATTGCCCAAAACAGTTCATTCATATTAGGGCCATCCATAGACACCTGAAAGATTTTTTCATCATTAAAACCAGTCATGCAAGATTTAGAAATATTTAGAATATCTGGAGTTGCAGCATTTTCCATGAACTCTAAATTATAATATCTTGTACAAACAGTATTACTCCCTTCATTCGAATATTGCACATGTAAGCCCATTTGACCTTTCTTCACAACTATCGTAAGACTCATCAAAAAGTCAACTTGCTCAGATCTTCTATAAAAATTTTAAATATGGGGACCATGAGTTACAATATAACCAGAATTTGTTTGCCACAGGAAAATTTTTCGGTCATTTTATTATCTAGAAACATTGAAGTTTAGACTTATTCTCACTTAATCAAATAATTTTTTTTATCTAAACATTATCTAAACACAAAATTAATTCTGCTTTCAAAACTACTTCCTTTTGAAGCATATCTGAAATGTTAAATTGTTTAGACAAGATAAGCTTCTGTGGTTCTGATTGCTGTTTCTTTGAATGAAACAACCTAACCCTATTTAGGGAATCGGAAAATCTGTGTTTTGCTCCTCTTGCATGCGCATCAAAAGCCTTGATGCCTAAAGCTGCTACTGAAAATGACTTAGAACAAACTTTGCATCCTGCCAGGGCTGGGGTTTTTATTTTTCTGAAGCCAAGAAATGAAATTATCATTACTTAACCAAACTTCCTGAAAACTAATTTTATATTTAGGTATCTAAAAGTAATTAGTGAAAAATGAATTTAATCAAAAGTTTATTTAATATCTAATCTAAGTTTAATATCTAAGTTTAATATCTAATCTAAGTTTAATATCTAAGTTTAATATCTAGCTAATCTAAGTTTAATATCTAGCTAATCTAAGTTTAATATCTAGCTAATCTAAGTTTATTATCTAGTTTAATATCTAGCTAATCTAAGTTTAATATCTAGCTAATCTAAGTTTAATATCTAGCTAATCCAAGTTTAATATCTAGCTAATCTAAGTTTATTATCTAGTTTAATATCTAGCTAATCTAAGTTTAATATCTAGCTAATCTAAGTTTAATATCTAGCTAATCTAAGTTTAATATCTAGTTTAATATCTAGCTAATCTAAGTTTAATATCTAGCTAATCTAAGTTTAATATCTAGCTAATCTAAGTTTAATATCTAGCTAATCTAAGTTTAATATCTAGCTAATCTAAATTTAATATCAAGCTAATCTAAACAAGAGTGGTACACTGTGCATTAAAAGTTTGATCAAAGTACATAAATGTTTGAAATTTCATAGTTAAAAGCAATTTTAAATCAACACATAAAGAATTCTATTGATGGCCGCAAAAACTTATTTCTAATTTATTTCTATTTTTTTTAGTAATCTTACTTATTAAAGTAAATTTTGCTGAACTCGCGGTAGGTGTGGAAATGATCCTAATAATATTCAACAAAATTTAATTTTTAAAATTTTAATTAGCATCAAAATAATACTTTTTTTCATAAATTAAACCTGCCCCTTTTTTAATTATATAATGGTTAAATACATATCAATATTTGAAAAAATAAGTAAAAAAGGAAAATATTTAAAAGGATAACGCTTTTCAATCATGAGTAAAGATCAACCTTCAGAATAAAGAGAAATAAGATTGGCAAATTATTGCTGACCTCAATCTTTTAGAGGTCAGCATCAGGTTGGCAAAAAAAAATTAATACAAAGATTGTACCATAAAACATTAAAACAAGACGAAACAATTTTTTACCAACCTCAAACACTTTGAGGTAGGCAGTTAGGTCAGCATTGCTAAATGCGGATCCTAATTCTAATGGCTGAAAGATTATGAATAAAATTTTTTTTTTCATAAAACTGATTTTAAAGAAAGAAAAGAAAGAAAGGAGGATTTAAAAATGCCCCCTGATTTTAGAGAATTGTAATTGAACAACCTCTGTTTTAATGAAACTGCTTTTTGCATGTCTAATAATATCTAAGATATTGATAAACATATTAATGTCAGAAATAAAATATAATACTTTTTCAAAACATTCAAAACAAAACAATGGTAAAAAAATCAGATTGTGAGAAAAGGAAACATTGGTCTCTGTAAAAGAAAATTGACAACAATTGAAATTATTAATCATTTACTGTCACAGATTTTCAAATAACCTACACACAAAATACAATTAATTTACATAATAAAAATTTTTTTTAACAGGTAACAATTCCAAAAAGTAAACATTATCTACTACCCTTCTCTATAAACAAAAACAATCAACAACAAAAAAGATTACGTGTTGCATCTGTGCAATGACGCAATGCAAGAAGAAGATCACCTGATTCTTCATAATGCAATGACTTACGCAACATCTTCTCACCATGATTTATTAAGAAATCAAACTGCACTAAAAAAAATTGCATGAAAAATCTACTAAAAAGATTCCAAAATTAAAACACAATTCACTAATTTTTAAAACACAATTCACTAATTAACATGTTAAACACAAATTTACAAACTACCACTTGAAAAATAAAAATAAGATGAGATCTTTACATAAACTTTGTTCAATTTTATATGCAGTGTGGGATGGGATGTATTGTACATACGTTGTTGTATATAAGTGTGTGTGTATATATATATATATATATATATATATATATATATATATATATATATATATATATATATATATATATATATATATATATATATATATCTGTGTGTGTGTGTTTGTGTGTATGTGTGTGTATATACATGTACATATATATGTGTGTATACATATATATATGTATATATACATATATACAAGGTGTTAACTAGGAACAAATTTGATACAGCGTTTTGATGAAATTGGGATTTTGATATAATGTTTTCCGATTAACACATCCTCCCCCTCCTTTACCACCCCCTACCTACCCCAACCCCCTCCCATACACACACACACACACACCTACCCCAACTCCCAGCCCCATCCATACCCTCCATCATTCCTGTAATTAAAATGTGTTCCGGGAATGCGTGGGCCCTTTTTTTATCTTCTTTCCTCTTCCACTCCACTTCAGCGCTGTATAGATTAATTGGACAGCACCAAAAATAAAATAAAAAACTTATTTTTTGATACACAAGCAAATCGAGAAAGCAACTAATATTTTAAATCAATAAAGCATTTCTTAAACACAACCATATTTTGATTTATTTATTAAACCGTATTTGATTATTTATAAACAAAAGAAAAAATACTTTTATAAATACTCCTAAAATAATCTTTAATGTTAAATATGAATGTTAGTGAAAAAAAAAAAAACTTAAAATTTTTTTTTTTTAACTTTCTTAGGTGAAGAAGTATAAAGCATCTTTTAAAAAGATAAAAATTAACATAAATTCTCGCATAAGATAAAACAGTTCACCTTATTAATTAGACACACTGTTTTGTTTTTATATTAATTATTCAGAGGTAAAATATTTAAATTATATTAATTATAATTGTTATATGTTAGGATTTCTTTTTTTCAGCTCCTCAACATAAATTTCAAGAACCTCTTCGAATCCTTGTTCAGGACTTTCGGTTGATATCATCAAAAGACTTTCAAGTGTACTCTGAGACAACTGGTTGCGTAGTCGATTTTTTACTAGTTTTAATTTAGAGAACAGCCTTTCTACACAAGCAACACTTATCGGAAAAATCAACAGTAAATTCAATAAAAACATGCAGTTAATAAGTAAATTCAATAAAATGCAGTTACTATATAAATCCTGATTTAAACTAGTTCTTTTTAGACCAGTCAGGATTGAGCACAGTACGACTCTCTTTTGTTCTTTAACTCTTTTCGCTGTTGTTCAGTGGATGCATTAAGTATTTCTAAATCAAAACGTGTTTCCCACTCCTTTCGCATTGAAAATATTAAATAATTAAAACCCTCAAATTCGACTTTTGCTTTCCCCGGATCTACATCTCTGTCTTGTTGCACCGTTTGACTGAATTGATTACTTTCACAAAAGTTCCCATAGTGATTTAATAACGTTGACAACTCTACTTTGCCGTAATCAATCAGATCAGCCATTTTTGTAGGAAAATTGCGAGGATCAAAAACCGATAAACATTTCTAAAATTTCATTTGTTCAAATGTTTTCGTCAGCTCAATTTTAAACTTAAAAATGTTAAACAAATACTTTATTCAAAGTTTTCAAATGTTATTTTTTCCTTGCGCAAACAACTTGATGTAGCTAGAGATGCGCAAATGTCACTGCTAGTAGATTTTATGTTTTCGTAATTTTCTAATGTAAAGAATTTTTTTACTGATCCGTTTAAATTTGCATTCAAATTCAACTCTGTTTGTTCAACGTATATAGGAATATCACTCAAACAAATACTTTTTTGTGATGACTGCAGAGAAAGTACAAGAGGACCAATGGCGGAAAAAACATCTTACAACATAAGTATTGACAACATAAGCTCTTTTTGCTCGTTATAGCAAGTACATTAATCAATTAATTAAAGCAATTAAAAAGTTGTTATAGTTGCCTAAAAAAGTCAAGAAGGCTCTTTGGTGAACTGTCCATCGAGTTGTACTTGGGCATATAGACACAATGTTGTCAATATCACCATAAATATTGGCAGTTTCCTGCAGCAAATTCATTGCTGTTGTTCGATATTTAAAAAATTTCCAAAGATTAAGAAAAAACACATCGGCTTCCTTTACACATTCAAAGTCAGATAGAAGATGTTTAAAGCATAATGCTAACCTGTGGCTACTACAGCCAACCCAAATTAGTTGCGGGACTGAATGTTCTAAGTATGCCTTTAAACCCCCTTTCTCTCCTGAGTTCACATTGGTAATATCCATGCATGCATAATGAGCGTTGCGCAATGGAACATCTATTGATATAAAAAAATCTTCAATAACTTCAAATAATCTTTTGGCAGATAAGCTTGTCCCAACTAGTTTACTTAACGGTAGCAGTCCAACAAAATGTTATTTTACTGAACTACATTGTTCAAAAGATGCATAAATAGCTAGTTGTTCAACCGATGTAATATCTGAGGTCTCATCTGAATAAAATACATATTTTTTCACTCGAAGTGACTCAAGCAGCGGACACTTGACAAAGTCACATATACTATTAATATTTTTAGATATATACATGGGTGACATATAGGTAGTATTTCCAGGTGCGAGTAGTAGATGAGATTGTACATCTTTTCCCCCACATTGCGCAATAAGCTCTATTAATTCTTTAAAATTATGAGTATGAGCCCAATTCTTCATGATAAGTAAATGAGTTAAGCAAAAAAAAGACTTCAGAACAAATCTTGTTTTTGAATCTTTAACATTTTCTTATGCAAGATTATTTTCACAAATCATTTTCCAAACATCTGTGTCTCTTTTACTCAACTCTTGGAATGTTTGTTTGTTTTTTATTGGATTTTTATGTTGAACCGATGATAAATGGGCAGATGAACGTTCAACAGGATGATTTGCAAACATTCGTGGATTTTCAATAAAAGCCCTTGAACCACCATGAGTGGCAAATGATGTGCACGTTTTACAAAACCAACCATTTAACACTGACGAAAAATAAAAATCGGTAACTAGTCTCTCGTACTTTTCAGTCAACTTCAAACAGAAATCAAGTTTTGGTTTCTTAGTTAACGACTCCTTTTTTGTAACATCAGGATCTACCTGGAGTTTATAATAAAAAGAAAATATGATTTGAGAATCTTCAATTTTTACTATTTACGAGTCGTCTACAAAAAGCGTTGTTACGCTGAATTTACCTAATAGCTAAAAGTAGGAGATTAATGGCTCTTGTGTGCAGAAATTTTTAAAGTAATAAAGCAATTTACGAAAGCCTCCTTGGAAGAGAGCCAATGATCTTCTACTTATTATTATTTAAATAGACGCCCTTTGTGGACAAATCCTTACACTATAATGTAATAGATTGTGTCATCAAAAGGAATGTTTTAATAATAGAAAAATAGAAAAAGTTGCAAAAATATTAAACACGAACTAGTAAATTTCATAATTCACAATTATTGCGAGTTCAATTTTATAATTAGTGTTATACATAAATGACATAGCAAAACAGAGTCTCACCAAAAACAATAACAAATGTTTAATTACAAAAGAATGTTGATTGCCAGCGATTGCATTCTATCATTGCAGCAAATAACACTAATAATTATTTTTTCATTCATAGTCATAAAATATTATAAAATTTTCATTCAAACATTTGCTTTTACATGGTTCATTCAAACATTTGCTTTTAGATTTTAAATTCAAGCAAGCGGTGAATTTAGTTTTTCTGTTATTTAAATTTCTCGTATTAGTTTGTTGTTATAAAAAAAATTTTCTTGTTATTAAAAGTATTAAAGCTACGTTTTAATATAAGCATTTAGTTACATTTTAAATACAAAAGTAGTAAAATAAAGAAATCTAATTTCCTCATTAAACAAATTTTTAGTAACAGTTTGTAATAACTATATTACATTTTTTGTATTTAACTTATATTTCTAAAAAATTGTAGTCGATGCAATCACGTAATTCAGTTGATATAAAACACCAAACAAAAAAAAACATTAACTAAAAGACTTACCGTAATATCAGCATTGATCGAAATTTCAAAATTATCTGACGTAAGCTTTGCCTGTTTTTCAGCCAAAACAGGCAAAGCTTTTAAAGAAATAGCATTTTCAGGATTGAAACCAAACAAATTTGTTATTTTTTAAGATTGCACTTTGTTTTTAGCTAACTTTTTTATATAATATTTGCTATTGTTGGAGGGCATTGCAAAGAATGATATGGAAATTTTGAGAAATTAATATTACAAGCAAGTTGCCAAGAAAATCCCTTAAATTGTTTGGAAAATCCCAATTCTCAGAAATTTTTTCCCAAGAGAGATTTTCACAGTTGAGCAATTGCGTAATTATACTAATAACGGCAATTTTATTTCTCTAAGTATTTAATAATACTTAATTTTCAATAAATTTTAGAATTATTATTAAACTTTAATTTATGATTTAATTTATGATATATTTGAAGAAATTTTATTTAATTTTTACCTTTAAATTAGGAATTTTAATTTTATGAGCGTTTGGGAATACCACATTTGACAGGGCGCCACAGGGCTAGTTTACACCCTGAATATATATATATATATATATATATATTATATATATATATATATATATATATATATATATATATATATATATATATATATATATATATACATATATATATATATATATATATATATATATGTGTATATATATATATATATATATATATACAAATAGTATTGCGTACTAAGGTAAGCAATCTGACATCATACTGAAATAGCCTGCTGCTGGGGGCTTCAGTACATACATCAACTGACAAATAGCCTGACTCGCAGTGGAGTGCTGCGACATCGACTAAGGGTTTGGGATGGGGAAGCAATTGTTTTATTCATCATTCTTCGTTTTTTCTTCTTCTTTCTTGAAAAAAACGGTGTAGCTTAAGGTAAACAAAAAAAGTGAGCAAATGATTATCAAAACATGTAATGTGATCTATAGTGTTCAATAATTTGTACTCTTTTATTAGATTGCTGCGCAAATGCCTAGTCTCCACCGTAGTAAACTTCATTTTGGATAGTTGTTCCTTATAATGTAAATGTTTAAGATTATGTTCCAGTTTGGTTGCACGACGTAGGATCCTTCCCAGTGTTTCGATGTCACCTTTCAAAGTAGGATTCCATACAGGGATTGCAAAACTCAAGGTGATGTCTAACTAGCACTGTGCACAGAGTACGTATCATTTCTATATTTAGATGAGTGAAGGCATGACTCTGAGTACATTCTGCGCTTTTGCTGCTGCTGCTGCACTTGCCATTTGATGTCTGATGAGATCAACATGTTGAGGTCAGGTTCTACTGTTGTTTTACCTAGTTTGTATTCAACACCATTTTCTGTCATCGTATAGATGGTCTGAGGGTTCTTTTTGCCAATGTGCATAACCTTGCACTTTTCTTTGATTAACTCCATTAATCATATACTTGTCAATTTTACTAACTTGATGAAATCCTTTTGCAAATTGATCGCATCCGGAATGTTTTTTATCGCTTTTATTAGCTTGCTGCCGTCAGCATAAAGTTTGCATATACATTGTAGTGTTCCTGGTATGTTGTTGATGAATATCAAAAGCAAAAGTGGCCCAAGAAAATATATATATATACACACACACATATACATATATAAATGCACATATATAAATTAGATGCACACAGGTAATATCATAAAAAAAGTTGTGGGGACCTCATTACATACAACAACTATTAAATAGCCTGACCCACAAAGGAGTGCTGCTATATGGAATAAAGGTTTGGCATGGGGCAGCATTCTTTTTTTTCATTATTTTTCGCTTTTTTTTTTTTTTTTCTGAAAAAAAAGGGTGCACTTTTTAATATTAAGAGCACAAAAATGATATTAGGAAATTACATCCTTACATATGGATTGAACATAGTACATGTTTATATGTGTATATATATATTTATATATATATGCCTGTGTGTACATATATATATATATATATATATATATATATATATATATATATATATATATATATATATATATATATATATATATATATATATATATATATATATGCACATGTATATATATAGTCTTGCATGGTAGTCAGAAAGTTTTTCCCATAAACAGTAGTTTTAAAGAGCGCCTTAATAAACCAGACCAGAAAAAGTTTAAAAACTTCAATATTTTTTTTCTTAAATGATAGACTGCCTGCCCAAACCAAACCTTCAGTCAATTTAGCAGCACTCCCTTGCGAGTCAGACTATTTGTTAGTCGATGTAGCAGCACTTCCTTGCGAGCCAGGCTATCTGTCAGTCGATGTAGCAGGACTCCGTTGTGAATCAGGCTATAAGATAGTCAATGTAGCAACACTCTTAATAAAACAACAACAAAAACACCATTAATTAAAAAAAACTTTTGTCATTATTATTGTGGTTTTTTTTTAAAAAAATAAAATTTTATGTACTTCGGCATTAATTTAATTGCTTTGACATTTCGACAACAATAAAATACAGCTTAAGAGTCGAGGTAATAAAAATTGTAGTCGAAAGAGACTTTTTTTACCATAAAAGTCTCTTTCTACTATGATATAAGGATATATATATATATATATATATATATATATATATATATATATATATATATATATATATATACAAATATATATATATAGACACACACACACAAAGAGTACTTAAAGCAAGAGAGGATGAGGTGGAATGCAATCTCGCCACCTTGATTTAATGTATAAATTATCCTACACCTCTGAAAGAACCACACTTAACTAGTCTCTGTGCGCAAGGTTTGTGTTTCGAATGGGATGGAAAAAAGATGTAAAACAACTAGTAATAGTAATAATATGTAAATCAGATACGCAACATAGTATGCAACAATAGATACATAGTATGCAACAGTCATAAAACTTAATTTATCAGAGTGTTTGTTAAAAACTCAAAACATGCTACTTTACTTTTAGATTATATAACATTAATTTGTAAATGAAATAAAATCAACAAAAATTTCACACCTGCTTTTCTATCTGATGATCTCCCATCATTGTTTGTAAAACTGTTATTAAGCAATGGGTCAGTGTCGTTTTGTAGATCAATAAGATCATCATCATTATCATAAAGTTCATAGTTCTTTAACTCTGTGCTACTAATGGAACTAGTTCCATTGCTTTTAGAGCCAATAGAAATTCGTGCTTCTAATAGATTTTTATAATGTTGAGATTCTGGAACTTCAGTGCTGCTAAATGAACTAGTTAAAATTTTTTTTGAAGCTATAGAGTTTAATACATCTACTTTATTTTTTTGTTTTTGATGATGACAAGATTCTAAAACCTCAGCACTATTAATGGTTTCATTTGGTTTTGGTCGTGTAGATTTTTTTTTATTTAATGAATTTCTTTGTTGAATATGAGCTGAGTCTAAAACATCAATGCTAGAACTCCGATTCATTTTTGATTCTAAACTACTTAGTGTTTTTTGGTGAACAACCAATTTGGCTTCTTGTTTCTGTTGAATATTGTCATTTAAAACTGTTGGTGTAATGTACTGTGACTTAAAAATTGATGAATCACCATTTGTTTCATTTTGAAAAATACTATCCAGTGAGTTAGAGCGTAAAGATGTATTAGGCAGTAGTTCTTTTTTCAAATTTTGTTTTTTTGGACTTATTACATTTTTGATATCAACAAATTTCTTCTTTATAAAACTGTTCTTTTGGGAATTTTCTAGAACATTGGTCTGGTCAATATTCTCTGATTTTCTGTCAACTATGCCCATTGATTTTTCAATTATGGGGAGTGGCCTTGTATTTACTTTTTGTGCATTAGAACCAGGAAGAGAAACATCTGACCTATAAGCAGGATTAATAACTTCATTAGCTTTGTTGCTCCGAGAGGATTTAACCTCTTGATTTTCTTTAACTGGACTATCAGGTAACACAAGGCTAAAGTCATTATTTGAAATCTGACAAGTTTTGTTAACGCTCAAACTTTTTGATCTAAAGGCATTTAAAATATAGTTAAAAAAAAATTTTCTCTCAACTAATTAACTAATTTTAACTAAATTTTTCTGTCTCAATTTTAAATAGTCTTAAAAAAATTAACTTGAAAAAAAAAATTAATATCTTTTGGAAAAAAGCATTAGTTTTTTTACTTTTTGTGACGAGAAAAATTTTCCTCTTTATGAAGTTAAATCATTACAAAATGTAAAACAGAAATTTTAAAAAATTTGAGTCAATTAGAAAATAATACTTGAATATAAAAATAGAAAATAATAATTTGAGAAAAAATTTTATTATTAAAAAATAATACCAATATTTAACTATCAATACAAACCATTTTTTTACCTGGATGACTCATGACCATTAGGTTTTGAATCTTTACCGCGTTTGGTTTTTCGCTTCTGCTTGCGATGGGGTGGTGATTTTGGTTTTGAAAGAAGCATTTCCTTTGACATAATATTAACAGATGTTGGTGCATTACTTATGTCTACAGGACTTCCATTAAAGTTAGCATAGATAACAAGTAGAGGTTGGAACCGATTCCGATAACACTTTTCAATTACACTGGTCCAACTATGACCTATCTATAAATTGAATATTGATTTTTAACTTTAATTATATTATTCATTTTAAGAGTTATTATAAAATAAATAACAGTTTACAAAAAAAAAGACTACTATTAAAGCAAAAAAATCCCCCCCCCCCCCCACTTAATATAAACAAAAAAACTGCCTATTTAATATAAATTATTTTTAATCTAATTTTTAATATAAATATTTAATAAAAACTCAAAGAGCTTTAAAAGGATCATTAAAAAAAAAAAAAAAATAGGACAAAAATTAAAAATAATAATAATAATAATAATAATAATAACAATAATAATAATAGAGAAATTATTTAATCAGCAGTGAAATAAAAAAAAAAAAAATTAAAAAAATGTAGATGAAAATATTAAGTTGGTGATAATAAATATAAACAAATAAGTAGCAGCCACTGTAACATCTTCCTCGAATGTAGTGACTTCCTTCACTTGACAGTGACCTTTGACTTTGAGGTGAATGCAGCAAAAAAAAATTACAAAAGAAATGATAAGCAATTAAAAAAATGTAATAAAAATAATAAATATAAAATGATTATCATAAAAAAATATTATGTAGTAAAATATTAAGTTAAAAAAATATTTAAAAACATATAATATACTAAAATAATTTTAAATTACCTTTTTAACATGAGCATCATCAAAATAAATCCACTGTTTTTCTGTTGAGTTGTAAAAAAATGAAGTATAGTGTTTCCCGTAGTAACAAATAACACCAACAACTTTCAGCTCTAAATGCTTGCATTGATGGTCAGGAATATTATCAAATATCTATTAAAAATATTTTAAATCACAAACTAGACAAATAAATACGCAAAACATTACAGATAGTAAATTTTATTATGATAAAATTTATTATTTCATTATTTGAAAAAATTAAATTTAGTGTACAAAATATAACAAGCAACTCAATAACTATACACACATTTTTAAAGTATAAAGAATTCTGGAAACAATCGAATACATCCACAATATAACTTGAACTTGGAGAATCAGTATCCCAAATCACTCCAATTGTCACTAACAAAAAAAAAAAAACTTTTGTTAGATTTAACACTTTAGTAAAATATGAATTGCAACCAATTAAAATATGCAAGAAACACAAAATTGTACGCAATTCCAATTTAAAAGAAGTAAAAGTCGTAACAAGGTTTCCGTAGGTGAAACTGCGGAAGGATCATTACCAATGGTTTGACACACACTCATGTTAATATGTTTTGCTCACTGTAAACTGTTTATATATATGCATACAAAATGTATATATATATATATATATATATATATATATATATATATATATATATATATATATATATGCATACAAAAATATATATATATATATATATATATATATATATATATAATATATATATATATATATATATATATATATATATATATATATATATATATATAAAGCCCTCAGAACTAAGGTTGTCATTTGGCAATGCCAACCTAACTGCTGACCTTAAAGTGTTTGAGATCGGAAAAAACTGCTTAAATTGTTTCTATGTTTTATGGTGAGACCTTTGTATCAAATATTTTTGCTGACCTGATGCTGACCTCTAAAAAATTGAGGTCGGCAAATTATTGTTGACCTCATTTTTCCTAATTCTGTGTGTGTGTGTGTGTGTGTGTGTGTGTGTGTGTGTGTGTGTGTGTGTTTATATATATATATATATATATATATATATATATATATATATATATATATATATATATATATATATATATATATATATATACATATATATATACAAGTTGTCTTTGATATATATTTGTATGCATATATACATTTATAGAGTAGATTTCTGAGTTAATAAATTAGCTTTCTAATGATATAAAACACTTATTATAACTATTTATTCTTTTTAAGTAATTTAATGAAAAATTAAAGCAACTCAATTATTAATTACTAAAAGTGTGTTAAAATTATAAGGTCAATTAATATAAACTTTATAATTCTTAAATAAATTATACATCAACCCTGAAAATTTCTATTTTCTCTGACCAATATAAACTACAACTAAGTTTGAAAAAAAAAAAAAAAATCAGATTTTAGCTGGCTTTTCAAGAGATACTTCAATTAGTTCTTTGAACACCTGAAGCAGTAAAATGGAAAGAAAATCAGTATCACAAGTAGTCAAATGGCAAATAGTTGGTCTATCCAAATATAACAATAAAAGTCAAAAAGAAATAGCAAGATTAAGTGTTAAGTTCAGGTTAAGTTCAACATTATTGCGAGCGATGGCATTTGCCGTGTACATCGACCGGCTGGAAAATGCCTTGATTTACATTACTGCCACAAGACCGTGAAGAATGGTGGAGGCAATGTAATGGTCTGGGTATGTGTTTCTGCTAACGGTCTCCAATACATAGATTTGATGGAATAATGAACCATTTCATGTATAAAAATATCCTGAAAGATGTTATGTTACCTTATGCTGAATGGAATATGCCAATAAAATGGGTTTTTCAGCAAGACAACGATCCCAAACACACTGCAAAAGTAGTCAAGCAGTGGTTTCAAGATAACCACCTATCAGTGATGAATTGGCCACCTCAATCTCCGAATCTCAACCCTATCAAGAACCTGTGGGAGATCGTCAACCGCAGAATTAATCGTGAAGGTGTTCATAATAAGGATCAACTGTTTGAATCCAAAAGGCCTGGGCAGCGATTCCACAAAACTTCATTGATCACCTGATCGAATCTATGCCTCGAAGATGCAACACTATGATCGACAACAAAGGATTCGCCACGAAATATTGATAGCGAAATACAGCTTGGTCAACATTTTGTGGAGTTGCACTTGTTTTGTTCAGAAGGAAATCAACTTTTTTTAATACTTTTGATTAAATTATTAATTTTTGTGTACAAATAATAAACTTTATGATGAATAAAACTTTATGATGAATAAAACTTGAAAACCTAATTATTCTTTTTGAGTAATTTAATGATAAATTAAAGCAACTCTATTAATTATTAATTACTAATAATGTGTCAAAATTATAAGGTCAATTAATTTATACTTAATAACTATTAAATAAATTATACATAAACCCTGAAAAATCCTACTTTCTCTGACCAATATAAACTACAAATAAATTAAAAAAAAAAAAAAAATCAGTTTTTAGCTGGTTTTTCAATTAGTTATTTGAACACCTGAAGCAGAAAAACGGAAAGAAAATCATTATCACAAGTAGTCAAATGGCAAATAGTTGGTCTATCCAAATATAACAATAATAGTCAAAAGAAAATATTAAGATTATGTGTTGTTTCACTGAGCTATGTCCAAACAACATTGAAAAACTACAAACTTTGAAATGAAATAAAAGATTCACCAAGAGAAGGGAGACCATCAAATTCTAGGGATCAAAGATTATTTTATCAAAGTGTGAGGAAAGATCCTAAAATTAGTTACAGAGAACTGTCAACTAAGTTAAGAACAAAGGCTATGTGTTAGTTATAGCACAGTTAGAAAGGGTCTTAATAAAAAAGCTTTTAATTGTTATGTTGTTTCCTGAAAACTGTTTTTAAGGTATAGAATTAAAAAATATGGTGTAAACTTCACTGGTCATAGAAGATTGGTTTAATGTCATTTTTAGTGATGAATAAAATTTTGAGGGGGTTGTAAAACTGTAAATCAAGAATTATCAAGAATAAAGAAAGATTTTGTGTATCAAAAGTACAATAGGGTACCAGCTTTTTGCTATTTCTCATAAGGAGATATTTTAAAGTTTTTTCTTATATATTATTAAATATTCCAAAAAGGAATGCATTTCTCATAAGGAGATATTTTAAAGTTTTTTCTTATATATTATTAAATAGTCCAAAAAGGAATGCATTTCTCATAAGGAGATATTTTAAAGTTTTTTCTTATATATTATTAAATATTCCAAAAAAGAATGCATTTCTCATAAGGAGATATTTTAAAGTTTTTTCTTATATATTATTAAATATTCCAAAAAGGAATGCATTTCTCATAAGGAGATATTTTAAAGTTTTTTCTTATATATTATTAAATATTCCAAAAAGGAATGCATTTCTCATAAGGAGATATTTTAAAGTTTTTTCTTATATATTATTAAATATTCCAAAAAGGAATGCATTTCTCATAAGGAGATATTTTAAAGTTTTTTCTTATATATTATTAAATATTCCAAAAAGGAATGCATTTCTCATAAGGAGATATTTTAAAGTTTTTTCTTATATATTATTAAATAGTCCAAAAAGGAATGCATTTCTCATAAGGAGATATTTTAAAGTTTTTTCTTATATATTATTAAATATTCCAAAAAAGAATGCATTTCTCATAAGGAGATATTTTAAAGTTTTTTCTTATATATTATTAAATATTCCAAAAAGGAATGCATTTCTCATAAGGAGATATTTTAAAGTTTTTTCTTATATATTATTAAATATTCCAAAAAGGAATGCATTTCTCATAAGGAGATATTTTAAAGTTTTTTCTTATATATTATTAAATATTCCAAAAAGGAATGCATTTCTCATAAGGAGATATTTTAAAGTTTTTTCTTATATATTATTAAATATTCCAAAAAGGAATGCATTTCTCATAAGGAGATATTTTAAAGTTTTTTCTTATATATTATTAAATATTCCAAAAAGGAATGCATTTCTCATAAGGAGATATTTTAAAGTTTTTTCTTATATATTATTAAATATTCCAAAAAGGAATGCATTTCTCATAAGGAGATATTTTAAAGTTTTTTCTTATATATTATTAAATATTCCAAAAAGGAATGCATTTCTCATAAGGAGATATTTTAAAGTTTTTTCTTATATATTATTAAATATTCCAAAAAGGAATGCATTTCTCATAAGGAGATATTTTAAAGTTTTTTTACAGGAAGTATTAAACAGTATAATTACAAAGAGAAAATATGCTTTTAAAAACACAATTTAAACTTGCACCATAAAAAATTGGAATGAAATTCCAAAGGAATTATTTAGGCATCTGATTTTATGCCAAAACTTATTCAAGCCTGCACATGGTAAAAAAAATTTCTTTTTTTTTTTCTTTCCTAAAAAAGTTTGAAAACAGCTTAAGAAACTGATAAGAAATTTAAGTGACTTTGTATTTTTGAAAGCCAGATATATATATATATATATATATATATATATATATATATATATATATATATATATATATATATATATATATATATATATTATTTTTGAAATTGGCTCTTAACAACTCTAAGTGTTTGAAGTTGACAAAATCAAGTAAACATGTAAAATCAAATAAAATAATTGAGAAAACTAATCAAATTTTATTGCTTTTAAAAAAAAACACTAAAACACAACTTAATTGGATGTTGTTTGTTTTTATAATTCAGAATATATATTTTTTTATTTTTCTCTTGTTTTAATTATTTAATTTACTTATTTTATTTAACTTTTTTTTATTTTCAGAAAAGTCTTGCTTGTGTCACTTTTTGAAGATTGATATGGGTAAAAACAGTTCATAATTTAATTTGAAGTCATATGTTTAAGATGTTTGGTAATTGTTAACATTTTTGACAATAAATTTTAACTTCAGATTTTTATATACTGAGATCTCAAATATGTGTCATAAATTGATTTTTTAAAATTAGTATAATTATGAGTTTAGTTCAAAAACTAAAAGATTCCACTAGATTCCATGGAAGTTTAACATTTTCCCATTAATAGGTATATATAAAACCAGAAAAAATAAAAAGTAGCGAACAATAGTTTATTGCTTATGTTTATCACAAAATTTAATACATTTAGTTCCTATTAGTAAAAGAACTCATGCAGATAGTGCTAATTATCAAACCTCAAATACCAAAATATTCAAGATTTGGCAACATAGCACATGATTTAAAATTAAAACTTGCATATAAAATAACTAACAATAGTTACATTCATCATGAATACATTTAGTTCCTATAATTCAAGAATTAAGAATTATGATAATTTATTCAAGAAAATATGAAAATTATGATAATTTATTCAAGGCTCTTCTACACGAGTTTTGTAGACTGGAGGGCCTTTACTATGAAAGTATTGACAAACCTGAAATGATAAATTTAAAGAAAACTCTAACAATATTTAAATGTAAATTCCAATCAAAGTTGCAGAAACATTCAAGAACTTTCTCTAGAACACAAGCAAAATTGGTTGGACAAAGATGTAACAGTTGATAAAAAAAAAAGTTGCAGCAGGTCCAGGTAAAAAGTGCAAGGACTGGGAAGATTAAGGTGATAAAAGCAGAAGTTCTAAGTTAATAATAAATCAATTAAATTCAATTCAGTTTAAAAAATAGTTCAATTTACGTGCTTAAATATTAAATATTATCTTGTTTAAGGTTTCCAAATTGGCTGAACATCTTGCTGAAGCATTTGCATTATCTTCAATAAAATCTTCTTCAATAAAAGCCACTAGAGATCCTAACAAAAACAAATTTTTTGTTTTCAAAAAAAAGTTTTCTTTTTCTCTTTGTGTTTTGTTGTTCTTATGAAAAGTGCTACAAAATAAGTCAAAAGCACGGAGATAAGTTTTTCGATAAAAATCAAAATTGAAGATGGCTTGAGCTTAAAAATTCACTGTTACTTTTCTGGTGAACAGTCTCAAATCATTCAAACTTCATCAACAATTCATAATGCAATTCCTTCACTTTATGAAATTAAGAGCGGGATACACAAATGTTATTCTGAGGATTTAATTGTGTCAGAAACATCTGCTTCAACACCTCTACAGGGTATGTTTAATCATACTCTGACAAGGATATTAACTTTTACGGAATGCAAAAACTCTATGAGTATTGCTGAAAGTGGGGGGAGGTTTAAAGGTCTACTTCACTTTAAAGGTGGTTTTGATGGTGCCTCCAGTCAAAGTGTCTATAAATGAAAATATACTGATACAATTATTGGCAAGGCCCAAGTTAACAAGCAAAGTATTTTTTTCTTCATAAATGAAAATCTATGGTTAAATAAGAAGCCCTCTAGTAGACATTATTGTAGATAATCTCAGATAATCCTACATCTCAGATATTAAAAAGAAACAGAAAAATTAAAAAAAAAAGGAATATGAACTTTTAAAAACAGAAATGAATAGACTAGTCAAATTAGGTAAAGTTAGAAGTAAAGAGTAAAGCAAACTGGATATGACTATAACATTTAAGTTCAAACTAGATTTAACCATGTTTAATGGTAAAGTGGTTAATGCCCTCACTAACACTCTGTCCTCCTCATGGAATCATGTGATGTTTGTGGAGCTAAGCCCAGTGAACTTAATAACCCAGCATTGATCAGATCTAAACCAATCAATATAAAAGCTTTACTTTTGGGCCTCTTTGGCAAACAGGGTTTTGGCAACACTATCAATGGAAACACTGCAAGAAGGGCATTTGAAAATGCTGAAACTTTAGCTGATATAACAGGAGTGGCATTAGATGTAATTATTAGATTGAGGACAATCCTAATATCAGTATGCTCTTGTTATGAGTTGAACTCTGAAAGTTTTGGCCAGTATTGCTATGAAACTACAGCTCTTATACTCAAAAGCTATTGCTGGTATGTGATTCCCCCAATTGTTCATTAACTCTTGCAACATCTGAGACATTACAACTGCCAATTGGTTACTACTCTGAAAAGTCATTAGAGGCTCTGAATAAAGAAATTCGCAAAGCTAGATTGAACCATGCAGCCAAGATATCTAGAAGGAATATTATGACAAACCAGTACCAATACTTCTTAATATGTGTACTTATTAAGTGAGCCAGTAATATCAAACATTTGTTTCAAAAAATACAAGTTTGAAAATGGAAAAAATACTTACCCATGAGGTTTTACCTTTGTTAATGCGATAATGATGAAATAAAGCTTTTTTTATTAATATTAGGTTTTTTTCTTGAAAGAAAAATTAGATAAGATAAATTAAGTTAGTCTTTGTGCGGATAAAATACTTTAATATGTATGTGTGTGTAGTACACAGGTAAAATTTACATTAAAAATATGTGGTATTCTATTTTATGGTATTTTGGATCAAAGAATACCATTATTTTAATTTAAATCATCTTTTGCGCCCATAAATGACACTTACATCCATAAGAGCGCGTTGTGCGAGTCATAGGTACGCGTAAAAAAAAAATTTAATAGCAAATTTAAATTTTTCGACCCAAAACAAAATAGTATTGATGTATCAAATATTTAAATATGATAGTTTTTTGCCATTTTTTCACTTTTCTGACTCACTGTGCGACAATCCGAGAGAGGCTTCAGTTAGGCAGATAGAGCAGGTCCAACTACGTTTACATTTTGACTTAAAGAAGAGGACTCAGTGAGAGGGTTGCCATTCACAAAGCTATTACAATGCTATTAAATTAAAGCTACTATATTACTCTAAATTAAATTACTTACAAACATCTGGGCAATTGATAAGAGTTGTGCTTGTTAATGTTGTGTTTTTACCACTACTGCGATATGAACACCGTTTTAAATCCTTGAAGAAAAAAAAACTTTTTTATTACAACAGAATATTTGAGTGAAGAGGTGGGTGGGTGGGGTGGGGGTGGGAAGGGGATAATTTTTAGTACAATAAATTTTTTTTTAGTATTTATATCAAATATTTATTTAGTATTAAACTATTGATATTTGGATAAACATTAACTAATTTTACATCATTTTACTTGTTTTACATTTAGTACATTTTACTTTTTTACATTTAAAATAAAATAATCCAGTATACCGGACATGCTTTCGTTTCTCCGGACTGAACAGAGGATTTCAATAAATCCACCAACACATTAGGATTGCTGACATCTTTTTGCAAATTTTCACTAAAATAAAAGATTGTTGAATAACTATTTTTATCATTAGGATTTTATTCAATTTACAATCTGAGGTTTTGTTACGTGTGTTGGTTGAATGTTTCAGTTATACTGTTGGAATGAAAAAAAAACAAGAAACTTCCCTGCAAAAATTTCAACAACAAAATAACAAAAACAAAAATTTAAATTAAATCAAAAGAAGAAGTTAAAAGAAGTTTTAACTTTTATTTAATTGTTATTATATTTTAACTTTTAACTTTAACAAAAACTTTTAAACTTACAAAAAATTTTAAACGTACAAAAATAACGTTAAAATAAAAAGAACTTGAAAACAAAACTTACGAAAGAGCCGATGCTGAAACATAATGTACAAATTGATAATAAGACTTTGGTTCGCCTGTTGCTTTACATTTACACAAAACCTTGAAAATTATATAATTTAATTTCAAAACTTTCATTAACATTTTTATCAAAAGAAAAACATCTTAGTTTAAAAACACCTAGTATTGTGTTTAGAAGAACTTTTGTTATATTTCAATAAAACAATAATTTATAGAAATAACCGTGGAAACCTAAGCATAGCTAGAGTTTTATAGCGATTGGGAAGTGGAATGAAAAGCATTAAAGAGAGTTCTTTTAAACTTGTGGTAACAACAAAAGAATAATATATTTTACAATAAAAGTGGAGAACTAAAATCAGAGTCTTTTTTTTTTACGAAATTTTTTTTTACTAAATTTAACTGAACTTAAAAGTAATAAGTGAACTTAGTAATAAAAATTAATTTTAGCTAATTATGAAACATTTTAGGTAAAATTTTGTTTAAACCAGAATAGTTTGAGAGGGTCATAAGTGTTTTTTAAAATTGACTTTGAAATTTACCTATGGAAATAGAAGCTTTAAAAAAACTTTGCTTTTTAGAAACAAAAATAGTAAATAAAAAGTATTTACAAATGAACTAAAAAATAGTCACAAAATAATAAAGTCAAAATATTCTCAACTGGTTCTATATAGCTATAAGGAAATAAGATTTAAAAAAATAAATAAACATGAAACAACATCTGTTAAGATATCCTATAAAATATGCCATAAATGCCATAAAATGCCATAAAAGAAGAAAAGTGCTTCTTTTAGACAAAAAAAACAAACAAAATAAAATAAAAGTTGGATGGAAAATACAATGATTATAAAAGACTATGAAATAAATAAAAAAGCAGCATAAAGCTGATGCTAGAAATTGAAAGTACAAGTACAAGTGATTGAAGCCATAGCAACAACTGACTCATCAAGTAATGACTCCTTAGTCTTATGGTACAATAACATCAGATCATTAAATTGTATAATATACAATTTTCTTTTCTGTCAGAATTGTTGCTATGATCAAGTTCTTATGTTAGCTTGGGGTTTATTTTAAGTTGTTTTATGTTTGGGTTAGAAATGAATATACACAATGTATATAGCCAGAACAAGTCAACACCTGCTGCTAATCATTCTTAACTCTAACATAAAATAACTTAAAATAAATCATCAGCAATTGATCATAGCAACAATTCTGACAGAAAAACAGTTGATATTTTTTAATGCCAACCCAAAAGATTTAGAATTCAAGACAGATTGCAGTAGCTCCCTTTCATCAACACAGCAACTGCACTAAATATGGTCTTTATCTGTCCAGTAAAAGACTACTTTAGCTATGCACTGGAATGGTAAGTTGCCAGGTGATTTAAGAGGTGAAATAGCAAATGTTTAAGTTTACTTGTTCTTGTTTGCAGCCTTGATACTGAAGTTGATTAGTTGCTTGCTGTCCCAAAGTAATGGAAAGCAAGTAATGAAAAGAATATGACCTCTGAAACACTACAAATTATTTGAGATTACCACATGGTTCTTAAGTCAGAAGATAAAAATGATTCCACTACTGTTGTACCGAGCAATATAAAACAGTTTCCACTACTGCAGTATCAAAGCGCATTTTAGATATCAGTTAATTGAATCCAAAATTTATGGACCAATTTTGTACCTAGCAGGCATTTGTATCAAGCAGGCCTAATATTATTAACCTAAATTTAGTTGATTTTAAATTAAAATTCCTCTGGACCATCTGGACTATTTAATTATTTCAGACAGTAACGACATGAATTCCCAATAGAGTACTACACAACACATAGCATTCATGATAATATTGCTGAGTAAAAATTAGACTATATTTCTTACTGATGAATGCTTCTATCAGAAAACTCAAAACCTTTTTATCTTGTACAATGAGTGTCTTGTCTATCTATGGACTTAAGAGCCATTATCTGAAAAAGATAGGCAAAGTCTGGAAGTGATGACTTTAAAATCTCTTTATTTTCAGATATCTTATAAAACACAATGAAATTAGGCCACAGTTAAATTTTTTTTCGAAAACTCCCATTATTTGCGGAGATATCGGGGGCCGAAATTTGGCCCATTTTGTAAAAATATTGGTGCATGAAATGGAATTACTACTTTTAGGGACAATTTTAGCAATATGAATTTGAGAAACGCATTTATTTTTCTTTTTTCTATTACTCTAGCTGGATTTCTCTGCTTAAAATAAAAATTCAAAATGTTTACACTTTTTGTTGTCTAGAAATCACGGTTCAAAACCGCTAAATTTGAAATTTTACCCGTACTTTGACCATTTATATCTCCTAAGGCCATTACTTGCACATAATTTACTTAACTGTTTTTGAAAGCCAATAAGGTATACATTGAATTTATAGAAAAAAAATTATGAGTATGCAAGAGCCTGAAGTAAGCTTCCAAAAATGAATTTTCGCGGTTAATACGCTTTGTTAGATTACAAATAACAATCGTGGCCTTAGGTCTGCCATGAAACATATAAGTTATTTTGTTACCTCATATATGCATCTTCCAATATCTGAAAAAAAATCCATGTGCGATAAAAAGCCTAGAGAAGTCCTAGAAATAGTCTAATTTTGCCATATTCTTAACCAACAAAATACCCTAGCAACGACATAGATATGCTTAGCAACAGCTACTTTTACTCTTTAATAGTTAGTACTCAAATTAAAAATAAATAAAAAATACATTTTTATAACAAAACTGTATAAACTGTACAAAAGTGCTTGATAAAAATTATTTTTTAAGCTTTGTAACAAAACTTTGTAACAAAATGCGCAACAATAGGTTCAAAGAATGCGATGGCAAAAGTGTAATAACCAAAGTAAGGAAGTAACATTAAAGATTGCTACACAAGCAATTCCCTTTGGGCAGTCATTTGTAATACTTTCTTTAGACAATTATTAATGATTGCAAGACTATTTCCTTGGAGACACATTCTTCTCGAAGAATTAGCACATGAATTTAATAAATAGCCATAGCATGAGATGAGAAATTACGAAATAAAGTTTTTTTGTTTTGTTATCTTTTGTTTATTCAATAAAAAATAATAAAATAAAAAATAAAAGTTAAATACAAAATGTCAGAGAGCAACAATATAGTCAGTCTCTATGAAAAATGCGTGTATTTTGATAAAGGACAGACTTCTTGTGGCCCTTTTAAGCGTTGGAAACAACATGGGATCTTTCAAATTAATGAATTAACTGCTGACATAAGTAATCATTTACAAGTACTAAAGGTATAATTTATCAATTAATACATATATTTTTAATTATAAGCAACAATACCTCCAACAAATAGATGACAAATTTAACATTACTATTTTATAGTTACCGCAGACAAACCAGTATAATGAAAAAACTCTAATTGAAAGTCGATTACAAACTTATCTTTCATGCAACGACTGGTTATGTGCATACCACCGTTTTTCTTTTGGTATTGGATGGAAGCCGCCAAACAGATGTCAATACCCAAGTCATATATTTCAAGTTGGAAAAAAGCACCAAAAATTAGATCCATACCTTTGAATACCCTTGCTACTTATAATAAAAGTAATTCATCGCTACCTATTGGAGCCATATTTTGCTTCAAGTACCTAAAAACTATTTCTATAGATAATATTATTGACATGATAGAACCAATTCCAACAGTAAAGTCTAGTTCTTATGTTGATAAAGTTTATGTTCCAGATTTAGCAATCATTTCAGATAAGACCATCGAAGAATCAAAATTAAAAGCTAGTTCTTTGTGTGAAGCACTAGGAGCAAGTCCACTGTCTTTTCACAAAACGCAAAAGCGAATAGAAGACTTAACACAAGGAACTAAACAGAAAGTTAAAAAAAAATTTGAGAAATGTAAAGTGCAGCTCAAGAAGATATTTGCTGAAGCAATTGCACCTGGTCAATCAGAAGCACTTATAACCCAAGTATTAAACAGTGAAGATGAAAATGTTGCAACTGAAATGGTTCCAGAAGACCTAATTGTACAAGTTAAGATGTTCCAAGAAAGCGATTCTTTAGGAAAAATTCTTTTGCTTTCAGTTGTTAATCATAATAAGTACACTAAAGAGACATTAATGAAAATCTTTGATTGCAAAAAACATCAAATAGAAAAAGGACGCAAGTTGCAGAAAGAAAACATTGGACTTTCCATACCAAAGAAGGGTAAGGTAAAAATATGCCGAATGCCTCAAGAAAAAATTGAACATTTTTTGGAATTTTTATTTTCTCGAGGTCTGCTTCAAGATGTAGCATATGGTATAAATAAAATAAAGTTTGACAACGGAGAGAAACAAAAAGTGGCTAATGCCATTTTGATGATGAAGTTTAGCCATACAATCACATTTTATAAAGAAATTAGCCTAGAAACTAATTATGTCCCTATGTCAGATAGTTTTTTATGGAGAATTCTTTGTGGAATAAAACCTTTTCAAAGGAAAGCTGGTCTTGATGATGTTACAGCAGCTGGCATGAACGGTTTCCAAACATTAATTGCCATTTCTGAGAAGTGGAAATATAAAAATGTTACTAAGTTTCTTGAAAAAGGTAAAAGGTATCTGAAGAGTAATTATCCTTCCAAATGTAGTGAAAATTCAACTTTGCATAGTCACTCAACTTCATTTGCCCTTTCCGATATAGATCCGGACTTAAACCAATCAAACATAACCGCTGACAATGAACAATGCATTGACTGTACTGACCTCATTTCAGTAATCAATCAGGTTCGTGAGTTGGTTATACAAAGTGAAGATGAAGATCTACTATATGATTTAAATGTGGCTACAGAAGATGTTGAAGCCTATATGAAACATCAAATTCGTGATGCGCAGCAAAAAATGGCCAAAATAATGGCTTTTGAGCAACTTGATGAGGAAACAGGATTTTGGCTAAAGGATTTTTGTCAAAAAATATTGCCCGCTAAATTCCGTGAAGACCAAAAAGAATATTTTGGGAAAAAAGGAATGACTCTACATGTTGATGTCTTCTTCTTCTATGAAAATGGTCGAATGAAAAAAAAAGTGTATTTTACTGCTGTATATAGATGTGAGCAAAGTCTTGTTGATGTACTCTCGCTGATGTTGTTTTGGCCAAAGTTAAAAATGATTTTCCTTATTTAAAGAATCTTTATGCTAAGTTAGATAATGCATCATCTTATCATGGAAACTTCTACTTAGAAACCCTTTACAATGTTTGCAAAGCAAAACAATTTTTCCTTAAAAGGTATGATTACAACGAGCCTTCGCGTGGAAAAGATCAATGTGATAGAGAGTCAGCAGGAGCGAAATGTGTCATTAGGAGTTTTGTTGACGCAGGAAACAATTTATTGACTGCAGAAGATCTTTATGAGGCTCTTCATAATGGTAAAGGAATTCAAAACGCTGATGTTGCTGTAGTTATAATAAATTCCAAAGCCTCTATTTTATCAGGATCAAATCTGATTCCCAACATAAGCAGTTATCATTCTTTTCAGTTTTTCCCTGATCACATGATAATGTGGAGATACTTCCGAATTGGTAAAGGTAAAAAATGGAACTATACAAATGTGACATTCCATACTTCAGTTGAAATTGTTAAGCCCTTTAGTTCGACTTGCAAAATTTATACTGCCCCAACAATTTCCAAAAAACCACGTGTTGATAGAAGAGTTAACACTTTAAAGTTTTGTACACAATTTGGTTGCACTGATTCATTTTTTGACAATGAATCATTAAAAGTACGCTTGTTATCAGAAAACCACAATTTTCAATCTGTGAAGAAATCAATGGTAGACAGAGCAAAACTATCTTATATCAACAAAATGAAAATTTCAAACCTAAATTCTTATGATTATCTGCTGTCATCCTAATCCTGTCATTAAAGGGATTGAAAACTTCACAGACATCACTGAGTGGGCATTACCAAAAAGAAAAGTGTTCAGATATTCTTCAAAGCAGAAAACATTGTTAATGCAGATGTTTATGTCTGGAGAAGAACAAGGGAAAAAAATGAGCCCAGAGCAGGTTCACCAGCAGCTGAGGACAAAGTAAAGCCAAGTGAATATGTGACAACTCAACAAATTCGATCATTATTCTCTAGGCGAGTAAATTTACTTCTATATTTACTGATACCCAAAGTATGAATGATATAAAATTTAATTTTATTCTTTTCTTGAGTTTTAAGATAAATATTTTGAATTTACCTTCATGCTTCAAGTACATTTTTTTAGATGGAGTAAACAAAAAAGAGAAGGAAAGCTAGTTACCATTTTTTGTGAAGATGCTAATCTAACTGATGACATGATTGATCTGACTGATGATGCGAGACATACAAGTCAAAATAAAGATGATGATTTAAACAACGATATTCAGCTCATAGCAAAGGAGTTAGCAGCTGATTTTCAAATTGGTGATTGGGTTGCTATTGAATATAATATGCAGTGGTATCCTGCAATAATTCAAAGTGTAAGACGTTATAACATCAAAATATTTAATTTTTGAGTATTAGATCTTTTTTGTTAAGTTATATAATTATTAATTTATTAACCACAACATTTAAATGTAAGAAATATTCAGAAAGCACCAATGATTAGACGTTGTTTTACTTTTAACTTAACCCTGTAGGTCAATCGTGACAATGTTCATGTTTCTTGTATGGAATATTCTACTACACCTGGAAAAAACTGTTTCAAGTGGCCAACCAAGGAAAATATTCTCCAATATTTATATCTTGACGTTATTTGTAGGATTGATGCACCAACACCAACTAATCAAAGAGGGGGCTATTCTCTCTCAATAGACGATATGTATAACATAGAAATTCAGATTGACAAATAAACTTCTTTAAAACTTTATTTGGTTTGCTTTCTTAAACAAGTTGTATTTGAAAAAACGTTTATCCGAAATTTACATAATTGTTTTAACAATGATATAAACACTTCAAAGTGTGTGATGTTTGGATCTTTTTCTTATTAAAGAAGCTTAGAAAATAACTTTTATCAAGCGCTTTTATACAGTTTTTTGTTATAAAAATGTATTTTTTATTTATTTTTAATTAGAGTACTAATTATTAACGAATTATAGAAGCCGTTGCTAAGCATATCTATGTCGTTGCTAGGGTATTTTGTTGGTTAAGAATGTGGCAAAATTAGACTATTTCTAGGACTTCTCTAGGCTTTTTATTGCTTAAGCACATGAATTTTTTTCAGATATTGGAAGATGCATGTATAAGGAAATGAAATAACTTATACATTTCATGGCAGACCTAAGGCCACGATTGTTATTTGTAATCTAACAAAGCGCGAAAATTCATTTTTGGAAGCTTACTCTTTCCCAGGCTCTTGCATACTCATAATTTTTTTTCTATAAATTCAATGTATACCTTATTGGCTTTCAAAAGCAGTTAAGTAAATTATGTGCAAGTAATGACCTTAGGAGATATAAATGGTCAAAGTACGGGTAAAATTTCAAATTTAGCGGTTTTGAACCGTGATTTCTAGACAATAAAAAATGTAAACATTTTGAACTTTTATTTTAAGCAGAGAAATCCAGCTAGAGTAATAGAAAAAAGAAAAATAAATGTGTTTCTCAAATTCATATTGCTAAAATTGCCCCTAAAAGTAGTAATTCCGTTTCATGCACCAATATTTTTACAAAATGGGCCAAATTTCTCCGATATCTCCGCAAATAATGGGAGTTTTCGAAAAAAAATTTAACTGTGGCCTAATTTCATTGTTTTCTATAAGATATCTGAAAATGAAGAGATTTTGAAGACATCACTTCCAGACTTTGCCGATTTTGCCTATATTTCTCAGATAATGGCTCTTAAGATTCAAAAAACATATGAAACCAACCAAATTTGAAGGAAATAGTCTTCATCAGATTGATATATACCAGATATAGATTTGACACTAAAAATATGATGCTGCTGTTTATGACATAGTTTAAAATGTTTACGACATGACATCTACTTTGTGACTTGGTTTGATTCAAAGATTAAGATGAAGATTAAAAAATAAAATTTTTTCATGCTTTTAACATATCCAACTTTCACATTTAACATTCATTAAAACAACTAAGCATTTATTAAACACTTTAGTTTGAAATTTATAATTAGATGGAGTACAGATCTATCATATGTAAATAAACAGCATTTTATTCAAAATATTTGTTGCTCAGTCATAATTATCATTATTCAACATTAAAAATTTTCTCAATTTTAAAATACACACATCTCTATTGTAACAATTAAAAAACATTAAAAATAAAAATAAAAATTACAAAAGATTTGAATTTGAAAATTTTAATAAAAAGTAACAGAACAAAATAAAATAGAACAAAAACAGAATAACAGAGCAAAAATAAATAAAAATTAATGAAAAAAAACTAAATAAAACAAAACAACAACAACATTTTTTAAAAGTACAAACACTTTCATATTGTTTAGGATAAGTATTATATATTTTCACTGATAGTAAAGTAGATTTTACAAAAATTATATTTTTGTACATATTAGACATATAGTCTTATAATATCATGATAAAATATCTTTATACTTATAGTATACTATTATCATTATTATATAAACATGTATAAGGCTACATATTACACAAGATAAAAGGTTAAAAACCTGTTCCAGTATGTGCGATGCAAACTTTTGATGAGGAATACAATGCTTTGCTGCACAGGTATCTTCACTTTCTGTGTTCGCTATGTGGCAATGCAATCGATGAAGAATATTCTCCTAAAAAAAATTGTGGTAATATAATTGGGGAATAATTTTAGAGGGCTCAATTTATAAGCAAAAGGTATAGAGATCAAACCGCACTGGATTTTTGGTAGGTAACCCTGACGGACCTGCTTTTGCAGCCAACCTTCAACCTCTGTCACATCGCCGTAATGTTGCTTCTCTTTCTCTTTTCTACAAATACAATAATGGGCACTGCTCCAAAGAGCTAGCGTCTCTTGTGCCATCTACTAAAATTCATTCTTGTGTTACTCGTCATTCAATTAAGTCTCATCCTTTTTCTGTTACTGTTCCTAAGTGCTCCAAAAACTCTTATTCATCTAGTTTTTTTCCGCGAACATCAGTTCTTTGGAATTCGCTTCCTTCATCTTTGAAGGATTCATAAAATTTGCAATCTTTTAAGTCGTCTGTCAATCATTATCTTGCTCTTCCAGTAACTTTCAACACTAATTAGTGGTTGCTTGCAGCCTTGTTGGAAGCAAAGATGTTTTAAAAAAAAAAAAAAAAGGTCAACTTTATTTTCCATGGAGCTGTCAAGTTCTTCAAATTTTTTGTTTAAGATTTATAGGTGGGTTATATGACAAGAGGTGGGTTATATGACAAGAGGTGGTTTATATGACAAGAGGTGGGTTATATGATAAGAGGTGGGTTATATGATAAGAGGTGGGTTATATGATAAGAGGTGGGTTATATGACAAGAGGTGGGTTATATGACAAGAGGTGGGTTATATGATAAAAGTCTATATATATACCATCATCATCGTCATCATCATCAATATCATAATCATCGTCATCATCATCACCATCACTACCATCATCATCATCATCATCACTACCATCATCATCATCATCATCATCATCATCATCATCATCATCATCATCATCATCATCATCATCATCATCATCATCATCATCATCATCATCATCAGACTTTAGCATCTCTTTAAGTTTTCTTACTTCTACCACTACCATTTTCTACTGAAACTGCTTCCTCTCTACATGCTGATACCTAAATTACTTTATTCTTTTCTAACAAACATTGTTCGGTACAACGTTTTTTCTAATCTTTCTGAGATTATGCCTCCTATAGTCGTCTTGCTAGACCAATATATAATAACTTTATTTACTTTGGGCTTTCAAATTATTTACTTTAGATTTAAACTGATAAATTTGATAATAAAATTTGATAATAATTAAATAATTTGATCTAAAGTAATACTACTACCATTAAATTCTGTTATTTTTATAAATCAAAGATCTATTTTGAAAGTCTCTTGAAAAAAGATCTTAAGCAAGGAGTACTATTGGTTTTTAACTAAAACAATTTAAAAACTTTTTAAATACTTTTTAAATATACTATTCTTAAATATTACTTGCTAATTTATTGGTTATCATGGATCATGGCTTTCAACACTAAAAATCAAACAATTTAAACAACATTTATCTGAAAATAGCATAACTATTTATTTTCAAAAAGATAAAAAAAAATCTAAAGTATGGAACATGGAGACTTTTTTATTAGCACTTATTGAAGCAGCAAACAACAAAGCTAGTGTTAAAATATTTACTTGCTTGCTCCTTTCAAAAATATCTATCTTTTGGTCTTGCTTTTTTTGGATGTGAAAATACATTGTAATCTTATCAATTAACTTGGGACATTCTTGTACAGAATAAAAAAATTTTAATGCATGAAAGACCAAAGCTGCTTACTGCTTACTTTACTGCATAAAGATTTAATATGCTCCCCAAAGATTTAATATGCTCCCCAAAGATTTAATATGCTCCCCAAAGATTTAATATGCTCCCCAAAGATTTAATATGCTCCCCAAAGATTTAATATGCTCCCCAACGATTTAATTTGCTCCCCAAAGATTTAATATGCTCCCCAAAGATTTAATATGCTCCCCAAAAATTTAATATGCTCCCCAAAGATTTAATATGCTCCCCAAAGATTTAATTTGCTCCCCAAAGATTTAATTTGCTCCCCAAAGATTTAATATGCTCCCGAAAGATTTAATATGCTACCCAAAGATTTAATAATAAAGATTTAATATGCTCCCCAAAGCAATAAAAAAATCTCTAACATGTGGAACATAAAAACTTTAAGTAATTAAACAAACAAAAACCAAGTTCAAAATCTGTGTAAAATGAAAATAACTCACAAAACACTCAGCTGCATCATCCATTCGACCAAGTTGAAAACGATGCTCATCCTAAACAAATGATTTGAAAAAGTTAATAATATATTTATAATAATTTTAATTTAGTAATATATTGTGTAAATGTCTTTACAAAGTAAATTATTCAATAATTTATCAATTAATAATAAATTATTCAGTAATTTATTTTAAAAATATTTATTATATATGTTAGTCTGTATTTTATTATAAATAGATGTATCATTTATTATTTCAAAACATTAAAATGACTTCAGCACTTTTTTTCTTCTTTAAAATGAGTTTTTTTATCTCAACAGTATCGATATCAACACCTTGAATTATAAAGAGCAAACTTTATGTTTAAAATATTATTAAAACAACTTTTTGTTTCCTGTAAAAAGTTTTTATCATCATCATGATCGTCATCATCATCATCATCATCATCATCATCATCATCATCATCATCATCATCATCATTATCATCATCGTCTTTATCATCACCATGCTTATCATCATCATCATCATCATCATCATCATCATCATCATCATCATCATCATCATCATCATCATCATCATCCTAGTCCTTTTCCTCTTCCTCCTCCTCCCCTTCATCATCATATCCTCCTCCTCCCCCTCCTCCTCCCCCTCCTCCTCCTCATTATCATCATCCTCATCATCATCAACATCATCATCATCATCATTAGATGAAATAAGGTTTTTGAGCATGCAGAAAATTGCAGTTACATTAAAAGAATGCAATTGCTAAATGACCAGCTATTTGAGATTGAATTTTGGTTAAACAAGTATGATTGTTTATCCATATATATATATATATATATATATATATATATATATATATATATATATATATATATATATATATATATATATATATATATATATATATACATATATATATATATACAAATAGTATTGCGTACTATGGTAAGCAATCTGACGTCATACTGAAATAGCTTGCTGCTGGGGGCTTCAGTACATACATCGACTGACAAATAGCCTGACTCGCAGTGGAGTGCTGCTACATCGACTGAGGGTTTGGGATGGGGAAGCAATCGTTTTATTCATCATTCTTCCTTTTTTTCTTCTTCTTTTTCGAAAAAAACTGTATAGCTTAAGGTAAGCACAAAAAGTGAGCAAATGCTTATCAAAACACATTTTAGTAAGTGTGTGTATATATATGTATATATATATCCAAAAGTTTTTGTTTTTTTTTGACGTCTTTACCTCCAACAAGACTGCAAGCAACCACAATAAGAGTTGGAAGTTACTGGAAGAGAAAAGATGAATATATATATATATATATATATATATATATACATATATATATATATTAGGGTGGGTCATAAAATTTTTTTTCTTGTTACAAGGCTCTAAACATTGCTAATAGTTATTAATATTGATACTATCAAATATGAAAATGATTGTGATAGATTTAAAGGGCGCAACTTTATTGGGAAAGTTACCGGTACCCTAATATTTTGGAGAAAAAAAGTTTTTTAAAAGTAGGTCAACCTGGTACTCAAAAGAAGCGAAATTTTATAAAAAATTCCAAAATAATATTCGTTTTATAAAAATCATATTGCCAAAAAAAATTGTCATTAAAAAACATGTAAAAAATGCACCTTTTTCACTTTTAGTTAAAAAACTATAGTTATTATGCATTAAAATCTAAAATAAAAATTTTTATTTAAAAAAATTATTATTTTTGAAATTTTTATAAAATTTCGCTTTATTTGAGTACCTACATCACATAATTTTGAAAAACTTTTTTTTTGAATAATAATAGGGTCTGCTAATTTTTGTAATTATAGTTGCGGGTGGAAGACATTGCTCAATCCATAAAAGTAAATACTTTCCTAAATTAGTACATAAAAAAACAACTTTCTAGACCATAGCCAGGTTAGCAACTCTAAAAAAAAATTTTATGACCCACCCTAATATATATATATATATATATATATATATATATATATATATATATATATATATATATATATATATATATATATGGACATTTCCGCGTGAAAGCATTTAATTTTTTTATAAAATGCAACCTTTAGTCTCAGATTTTGCTGATTTTTACACCACTTAAAGATTTTAATAAGTTATGAACATTTCCAAAATTTTATCATCTAATTCTAAACAGTTTCAAAGATATGATTCAAACTTTGCCTTGAACCAACAAAAATCTGCCAATTTAAAAAAAGGTTTTGGTCATTTTGTCTGTTCTGTGTGCAATGAAAAACGGAAGATGTACTTCTATATTTTCAAGCAACTAATTCAATAAAACAAACTAAAATATTTGAAAATAAAATAACACCTTGACATTTATACTGGGGCAAGTTTAATTACAAAAATGCTGATGTAGATTTTTTTTTTTTAAATAGATGTTGTCCTGAATAGTTTAGCTAGAATTGTTACAAAGAATTGGAGAGTGGTCTTTTCTTAAACAGAAAAAAAAAACATGGTCAAATTTACTTAAATGTAAATTTACTTAAAAAACAGGAAATATAAAAAAATCAAAGAAAAAAAAGGTGAAAAAAAAAACAACAAAACAGTGCAAAAAAATACAAATTTAATACAAAGTATTAAATTTGTATTAAATACACAGTTAATACAAAGTGCTTTATACAAAACAGTTGATGAGTTTATTATGACCCCATCTCCTCATTAAATTTTAATCAGGGATACAGAGTTGCAAAAAGGACTCTGGTTTGAAAGTCACAAAAAGATTACTTTTTCTTAGCTTCAGGAGCTCAAAAAGTATGAAAATTAAAACTTTTAGTTTTTGAACCTTTTTTTGAGTCCTTAGGTATAATGGCGGCAAGGACTCCAGATTTAAAAGGAATAAGTTCCAAGTCAACCTCATGAGTTTTTTCTTTTTGCAGATCATAAGTCAACAACATGTTTAGAGCTTTTGGACACCAACACAGCTTTTTGGATTTATATCTCTATTTTTGAACAAAATAGGTATAAATCCTTGTTTCTTTTGGAAATCCCTTGATTTTACTTGTTATGAACTAAGTAATTGTATCTCAAATCCAAAAAAAAAATTCAGTTATTATTTCATAATTTTTGAGACCAGTTTAGATCTTAAAAATTAAAAAATATAAATTTACTTAAAAAAAAAATCCCACTCACCTGTTTGTTAAGACTATTTAACCCCCCTCCTTCTTTTCCCATCTTCCCCCATTTATTACATTGGATAAAAATTCCCATCCATCCTTTTATTAATTTGACAGTAATGAAACTAAAACAGCTTTGGGCATATCAAATTGTTCCTTTAGTTGTTGCTGACTTTTTGTTGTTGACTTTTTCTGTTTTCTTGGTAACTTTATAAAAATCCTAAATTTCAAAAATTTATTTAAATTTTTTAATTTTTCTATTTATTTTTTAACATCTTCTTTTCCAACTAGGCTGCAAGCAACCACTATTAAAATTGAAAGTTACTGGAAGAAAAAAGATGAATTTTATAAATCAAGATAACGATTAACAGACTGCAAATTATAGGAATCAGGAAAATATAAAGTTTTTTTTTAAGTTGTCTTGAATAATTTTGTTTGAATTTAATGAATTGGATTCTGGTCTTTCCTAAATCAGAAATAAAAACATCATTAGTAGATAAATTTAATAATGGAAATTTAGAATCATAATCTGACTTTCAAATTAATTAAATTAATTACACAGGGCTGCGTCAAAAATGTTCAAAGGGTTTTCTTCGGTGATTCTCAATGAAATTTGCATTCTAAATCTGAATCTAGGATTTAAATTTCTCAATCAGGTCTAGTTTTAAGATATAGACTTAAGGCTCTATACCGCATATATCCATTTTATTGCAATTCCCAGGTGACAGTTGTATATTAATATATCTATAAACATTATATAAAGTATATTTATAAAGTTTTATTCATCAATTCAATTAATGCCAAATAAATGTCAATTTTTTTACAGACTAATATATGAGATAAATAAAAATTAATTCATAAAAATGAATAGAAAATGTAAAAACAGCCCTGACAGATTCTGCTATGTGTGTGGAAAGGTAACTTTCAGTGATCAGCAATGCACCATAACTACGTTAGTAAAGTCCCTTTACAGAGCATATTTCGGAATAAGGCTTGGCAATCAAGACAAAAGCTTTGCCCCACATATATGTTGCAAAGTTTGTATCGTAGCCTTAAGGCGCTGGAATGAGGGCACAGCAAACTGTATGTCATTTGGTGTACCGATGGTATGGAGAGAAGGCAAGGACCATACTACAGACTGCTATTTTTGTATGATCAATCTTTAAGGTAATATAATTTCTTAAAACGGCAATATTTAATTAATCTAAACTTTTTTTTTTATAATCTAATGAAGTTTGAATTGTTTATAAAAACTGAGTTGAAATTCAAATTCGTCTAGCATAATTTTGCCAAGACCACTCATTCAAAGTCAATTGAATGACTTGACCAGAGATCCAGAAAATGTTTTACTTCCTCCTCTCCATAACAAACTTGGTCTGATGAAAAATTTTGAATAAAAAAGGCCAAGCTTTTAAGTATCTATCTCAAAATTTCCCACAGATCAGTGATGCCAAGCTACATGCAGGTATATTTGATGGACCCAAAATTAGAACTCTGTTAAAAGACAAAGATTTTGATATCAAAATGGTAGGAATAAAACGAGATGCATGGCGAGCGTTCAGCACAGTAATTAAAAGATTTCTGGGAAATAAAAGAAGCTCTGAATATGTTTCACATGTCAATGAGCTTATGATAAGCTTCTAAAAACTGGGAGCTCGCATGTCAAAAAAAATGCAATTTCTCCAGTCACATCTTGACTGTTTTCTTGAAAAATGTGAAGATTACAGCGAGGAACAGGGTAAAAGATTTGGCACTGTTTCAGTTGCCTACCCCTATCATTTTATGACTGATTTCGATAGAGAATTTCATGCTGATTAAGAATTGTATAAAAATATTGACCTGAAAATTTGGGGAAAGCACTCTAATTTTAAGCTGAAGTTTAAAAAATTACACTAAAAACGCTAATAT